CTGCAAAGTTTGTTACTTATTGGTGTACTGCAGAATTTTAGTTAAGTTTATGGGTGTCATGAGATGAAAAAGATTGAAATCGCTGATCTACGAAGTTTTCCTATTATTACACCCGGGGAGTCTTCCTGAGGAGGTAGTATTAGGCTGTTTCCAGGAGATGGGAAAGTAATCGGAGTCTAGAGATAAAGGGCGTCCTGTCACCTCTTCTTTATCCTCCAGATCTTAGACAAACTCTTGGACCGAGAGAGCCAGACACATAAACCACAGACCCTGAGTTCATTCTACTCATCTAGCCGCCCAGCCACAGCCAGCCAGAGGTCTCCTTCAAAGCATGGGGGCCCGTCTGCGCCAGGGGCCCTGCAGCCACTGACCTCGGGCTCTGCAGGGTCTGCTCAGCCAGGGAGTGTGGCAGGGGCTGGGCCAGGCCCCGCTGAGGGCTTCACAGAGAAGAATGTGCCTGGTGAGGTGGGGGCACTGGGCAGGGAGATGAATGGTATGGAATCATGTTGGGGTCCCCTTTCCTGGGTTAATCCTGATGTCCTGTTTTTCCCACCCAGAGAGTTCCCCACATTCTCCCTGTGAGAGTCTCCCCTCTGAGGCGGCTTTGACCTCGAGGCCGGAAGGGAAGGTCCCCAGCCGCTTGGCGCTTGGCAGTCGTGGAGGCTACAGCGGACGCGGCTGGGGCTCCCCCGGGCGGCCCAAGAAGAAGCACACAGGTACGGCAGCCGTGGGATGGCGCGGCGGGAAGGCTGTTCCTGAAGTCTGACTTCGGGGTTTCTGAGACTGACTTGTCTTTTTGGGGGTTAGGCATGGCCAGCATTGACAGCAGTGCCCCTGAAACAACATCGGATAGCTCCCCTACCTTAAGCCGGAGGCCACTTCGCGGGGGCTGGGCCCCCACCTCTTGGGGTAGAGGACAGGACAGTGACAGCATTAGCAGCTCTTCCTCAGATTCCCTGGGCTCCTCGTCTTCCAGCGGAAGTCGCCGGGCCAGCGCCAGCGGAGGGGCCCGGGCGAAGACCGTTGAAGTCGGCAGGTCAGTGGGAAGAAATACCTCTCTGACCTGGCTCATCCTCAGAGCCACATTCCTAGTTTAATCCAAATATTGTCCCCCCAGTGTCCTTACCCTGGTCTTTCCAACCTACCTGGACACTCACTTCAGAGAAAGCCCAACCCCTCTCCCTACCCCATCGCCCCTTCAGGTACAAGGGCCGCCGTCCTGAGAGCCATGCCCCCCATGTGCCCAATCAGCCGTCAGAGGCAGCCGCACACTTCTACTTCGAGCTGGCGAAGACGGTGCTGATCAAGGCAGGGGGCAACAGCAGCACTTCCATTTTCACACACCCATCTTCCTCGGGGGGCCACCAGGGTCCTCACCGCAACCTGCACCTCTGCGCCTTTGAGATTGGGCTTTATGCCCTTGGCCTGCACAACTTTGTTTCTCCCAACTGGCTCTCGCGTACCTATTCTTCCCACGTGTCCTGGATTACAGGTACACCGGTGTTTTGACTTGAGCATGGGAAGGGGATTGATTGATGGGGAGAGAGCCTTATCCTTTCGGAGCTAGTGATGAATGGTGATAAGACACACCGTGCCCACTGCCCAGTGGTGCTCATCTTTGCCTTTTGTCCTTCCCCCAAGGCCAGGCGATGGAGATTGGCAGTGCCGCCCTGACTATACTGGTAGAATGCTGGGATGGGCACCTGACGCCTCCTGAGGTTGCATCCCTGGCTGACAGGGCCTCACGGGCCCGAGACTCCAATATGGTGAGGGCAGCTGCGGAGCTAGCCCTGAGCTGCCTGCCTCATGCCCATGCGTTGAACCCCAATGAGATCCAGAGGGCTCTGGTGCAGTGCAAGGAGCAGGTATTTCTGTGGGCTCTGTGGGGACCTGCTTCGGGGGCAGGGAGTGTGGGCATGGGGAGAGCTTATAGTCCATGTTCTGGAATTCAAACATTCCAGTGTGTCCTCTCCTGGTGACACAACATACTGATGTTCTTTCACTGCCGTCACTTCTACTGTACATCTCTGAGGTTAGGGTTGTTCCTGTTTTACAAATAAGGACCTAGAGGCTTATAGTTTACGTACCAAGATGATCACTTAGAGGCGGCCTTGGGGACACGATGGGGCTTGGAGGGAATGGAGTGGCTAAATTAGTTTGGAACTGGGACTATAACCCGGGTTTTGACTTCTACGGGTCAACAAATATTTGTTCAGTGTCTTTGTGAAGATTTCACCGCTCTGACAGACTCTGAGCAATGACCCTGACCTCTAATGCTTCCCTGGGAACCAGCCAGCTCTGGGGGAGATGGAATGTTATCCCCAAGTAAAGCCCTTCCCCCTTAACCCTTTGTGCCCCTCCCTTCCAGGATAACCTGATGCTGGAGAAAGCCTGCATGGCGGTGGAAGAGGCGGCTAAGGGTGGGGGTGTATACCCCGAAGTGTTGTTTGAGGTTGCTCACCAGTGGTTCTGGCTATATGAGCAAACAGCAGGTGGCTCATCCACAGCCCGTGAAGGGGCTACAAGCTGTAGTGCCAGTGGGATCCGGGCAGCTGGGGAGGCTGGGCGGGGGCTGCCCGAGGGCAGGGGGGGCCCAGGGACTGAGCCGGTTACAGTGGCGGCAGCAGCAGTGACAGCAGCAGCCACAGTGGTGCCAGTCATCTCAGTGGGGTCCAGTTTATATCCAGGTCCAGGACTGGGGCATGGTCATTCCCCTGGCCTGCACCCCTACACTGCTCTACAGCCCCACCTGCCCTGCAGCCCTCAATACCTCACCCACCCAGCTCACCCCGCCCACCCCATGCCTCATATGCCCCGGCCTGCCGTCTTCCCTGTGCCCAGCTCTGCATACCCACAGGTGAGACCAGTGTTCTTGGGGGACGGGGTGGGGGACGGGAGGGGGTGGGCATGTGGGAGACTATAAGGGGTCCCGGGGGGGTTGGCATGGGGTACTCTGGGACGGAGCTGTCCAAGAACCCTCAGGGAGGTGATGGGTGGGAGTCTGGGGGACCAGCCCAACTAAGGAAAGAAACGTAGGGATGCCCAGTTGTGGGATGAAGGGGGAAAAGCTACATATTAACATAATTTGGTTATCTTCTTTTTCTTTTCTTTCTGCCTCTAGGGTGTGCATCCTGCATTCCTGGGGGCTCAGTACCCTTACTCGGTGACTCCCCCCTCACTTGCTGCCACTGCTGTGTCTTTCCCCGTCCCTTCCATGGCACCCATCACAGTACATCCCTATCACACAGAGCCAGGGCTCCCACTGCCCACCAGTGTGGCCTGTGAGTTGTGGGGACAGGGAACAGGTGAATGGAGGGGAGGTACGCTGGGCAGGGGCAGGAGGGAGGGAATTTCCTCTGCCCCTCTTGGGGCTGTTTCTCACATGGCTCTCATCCCTCAGTGAGCAGTGTCCATCCAGCATCCACGTTTCCAGCCATCCAGGGGGCCTCATTGCCTGCCCTGACCACACAGCCCAGCCCTCTGGTGAGCGGGGGCTTTCCACCGCCCGAGGAGGAGACGCACAGCCAGCCCGTCAACCCGCACAGCCTGCACCACCTGCATGCGGCCTACCGTGTTGGTGAGAGGCGGTCCCTTCCTGTACCCAGTGCCAGGGGCTGTTCAGTGACAACCCCTCCCTCTGCCTCTTAGTTTACTGTGGGGTCAGGTACCAGCCTGGCGTAGAGGGCGAAGATGCAACCCCACCGTGTGCCCGCTCTCTCCTCCCAGGAATGCTAGCGCTGGAGATGCTGGGCCGCCGGGCACACAACGATCACCCTAACAACTTCTCCCGCTCCCCCCCCTACACTGACGATGTCAAATGGCTGCTGGGGCTGGCAGCAAAGCTGGGTAACACCTCCCCTCCCCAGGACCTTTGTCCGCCCCACCTGCTTCCCCACCTTCCTACCCAGACCTCCTTCCTAGCTCTTGCTCAGAGTTGAGGCCTTGGTCGGGTATGTGTGCGTGCGCGGGGGCGGGGGGCCCTCAGCTCCTGGGTGGGGGAGGCGCTCTGCCAGGCCAGAGCTGAGGTAAAAGTTGGGTCCCTAGGGCAAAGGTGGCCACCCCCATCTCATGCCCCTCCCCCTGCCCCCCAGGAGTGAACTACGTGCACCAGTTCTGTGTGGGGGCAGCCAAGGGGGTGCTGAGCCCGTTTGTGCTGCAGGAGATCGTCATGGAGACGCTGCAGCGGCTGAGCCCTGCTCATGCCCACAACCACCTGCGTGCCCCAGCCTTCCACCAACTGGTGCAGCGCTGCCAGCAGGCATACATGCAGGTGACAACCCAGGAAGTATGGAGCAGGGTGGAACCCCTCCTGGGCAGGCATGAACAGATCGCCCGGCATGTAACGGCAGAAGGGGCCGGGCTCTGTGCTTAGCATCTCATTCTCCATACCCCCTTCCAGTACATCCACCACCGCCTGATTCACCTGACCCCTGCCGACTACGACGACTTTGTGAACGCGATCCGCAGCGCCCGCAGCGCCTTCTGCCTGACCCCCATGGGCATGATGCAGTTCAACGACATCCTGCAGAACCTCAAGCGCAGCAAGCAGACCAAGGAGCTGTGGCAGCGGGTCTCCCTCGAGATGACCACCTTCTCCCCCTGAGTCTGGCCAACCTGGGGCCCTATCCAGGGAGACAAGCCTGTGGCTATGGAGGCCCCTCAGACAGGGGCAGTGAATCTTGGCTGGACAGATCATCCCCACCCAGTTCCCTCGTAGCTCAGACTGGCAGCTGCTCTTGGGCTATAGCTTGGGGCCAAGATGTCTCAGACCCTAGAAGCCTAGGGTTGGGGGAAACAGCCCAGTCTGGGAGGGGGCACTGGGTGGCCTCCGGTATTTATTTGGCATTTATAAATATATAAACTCCTTTTTTACTCTAGTCTGCCTGGGCCTTTCTCTTCTTTCTCTTGATTAGCAGACGAACCTTGGACTGTAGTGGGGAAAAGTCTGATACTTGCTTTTTATTCTAGGTTCCTCCCACTCAAGTGCGGTAGACAAAACAGAAAAATAAGGATGTTTATTAAGGACATTTCTAGCCCACAGCTAGGGCTCATACTCAGCTCTATGAGCCACTGTCGGACCTCATCCCCATTCAATGTGAATGACATTAGGGAGGCCGGGCCACAGGTAGATCCCATTAATCCCACAGTAAGGGGGTCCCTCCCACAGCCACGTACAGCTATCCTGGGGGGATGACACGGGTAATCTCTTGATTAAAACATTCCTCTCTACCCTGCCTCTAGTTCCTTACCTTCTAGGACCACGGGTCAAAGGAGCTAGTACCATAATGTGGGACTATCAGACCCCAGAACTATGGCTGCCCTTCCTTTCTCAGCCATCCCAGGACTGGGGGCCACTGAGGTAGAAGGGGAAGGGGCCAGGCAACTCAAATCCCCGTACGGGCCCTTCTCTGGGCTTGCCCCTGAGGGAACGGGCTGTTTTGCTGGTACAGAGGCTGTGATGTTAACCCAGACTGGTATGCTGCAGTTCTTCCCGGAGCCAGGACGGTACTGGCTGTCCAAGCCGGCTCAGGAGCTTCGACAGCTCCAAATTGTGGTTCCGAAAGAAATCCGTAAGGAAAAGGCGGGACTGGGGAGGAAAATGGAGGCATGAACAGGAAGGACATAGAACCAGGTCTTAGTGGTGCAGAGGGAAAACCCGTCCCAGAATTCACTTACTTCAGTGTCCATATCTGGGTACCTCCGACCTTTGCTCTTGCCTAGACAGCGAGTCTTCCCACCTTCAAGTCCCTGGCACCAGAATCCCTTCCCTTCATCAAACCTGCTCAACCGGAAGAGGCCATTAGTGGGCAGGAGAAAAAAGAAACCCAAGCCCCATAAATTTAAACTACCTCTCCCTGCCCACGGGGACACAAGCCTCCTTGAGAGACAGTGTAAATTCATGTCTCTTCCAAACAGACACGGCCAACCTGCTTCCCCATCTCCACAGTCCTCTCCCGGACCACGGTCTCCCACCTGAGGATCCGTGTGTAGTTCCGAAAGGGGGTGACACCCAGGAACTTCTGGATGTTTTCCATTGAAGCAGCCGGGTTGGTACGCAGCTCTTCTCCATCCATAATCAGCAACTAGGGACAGGGATGTGGTTACTGCTGTATTTCTTAGAAGTCTCTGGGCTAAAGGGAAAAGGGGGGGGGGGGGCGCCCAATGAGGTCTATGGGGGGACTGTACCTGTCCAGAGGGGTAGTAAGTCAGCCAGCGTTGTAGATGGGTAGAATAGTAGCCAGGGACAAGACAGCGGTTCTGCAAGGAGCGAAGTGCCAGAGGGGCCTGGACGGAGGCTGAAATCACCTGGTAGAAGGTATAGTTCAGGGCGGCTGGGTCTCCATGTGCTCGCTGGTGCTGAAGGACAGGAACAGGCAGAGAAGGGGTTGGCGATTTGACAATCACTCTGCCCTACTCTTGGTCTGGGGAACAGACGGCATTGGCACCCCACCCCAAGGCACTAGTTTTAATTTCCTTACCCTTATCCCTTTCTGTCTCTAGCAGTCACCACAACTCCATCCTCAAACCTAACGTGTGCCTAGCTTCAGGCTCACCTGGTACCAGGAGTAGGCCCTGTCAGCAGGGTTGGTGAGCACAGTGATGATCTTGGCTCGTGGGAGGAGGGCAGCCCCCCGCCGTGGTACAACTTCTGAGTCAAAGTAGGTGGCACTTTTTTCAAACAGGAAGTCAGTGCTAGCATTGGAAGGGACAGGGAAGAAGTCCATGTACCTAGGAAGTAGCGGAGAAAGAGGCAGAATGAAAAGCCAGATGTCTGTGCAGTGGAAGCTGGAACGGAATTTGGGGGGAAGGGAGTGTTCCTCTGAGAAGTATTCCAAGGGGTCCCACTCTCACCAGTCAATGCCCTTGTGGTAATTGGGGCCACTGAAGAACTGAATCTCCTCAAAGGTGCTGGGGCTGGGGAAGCTGCTGGTCACAGCTGGGTGCAGGCTCAGGAAGAAGTGGACAGCTGTGGTTCCTACACAGGAGAGAGTCCAGGCCTCCAGCTCAACAAGAGGAGCTTAAAGAAGGTGAGAAAATAACCACTCCGGGTAATAAAATCCCCTTTAGCCAAACTAGAACGAGAGAAGGAACATCAGAGAGGCCCAGGGAAGGGTTAAAAGAGTGGTACTCAGTCTTGACTGCATCAGAATCACTTTGATCTTTTAAAACAAAACTCCGTAGATAATTCTGATATACAACTGGGGTTAATAATCACTGTCTCGAACTGGATTGATGGGGGACGGGTATGAGAAGGGAGTTCCTTGGCCAAAGAACCCTTTAAGGCAAGAGGAATTGGTAAGGAGGACTCGCCTGTCTTCTGGGGTCCCACAATGAGGAACTTGGGGAGCCGATCACAGGTTTTCTCCTTGGACCAGATATCTTTGTGCCTCTTGTCGTCACAGGGATTCTGAAGGTGAGGCCAGGAATCAGTTGAGGCCTAATCTTTTCTTTAACCCCCATCCCCATCATGTCTCTGGTCAGCCTGAGTTCCACCCCATACCTGCCAAAGGGGACTTCGCTCTTGAGGGAAGAGTTCAAAGTACTTTTGTGCAAGAGGGACGGGAGGAAGGGTCTGCAGGCGCAGCCGGGTCCAGCACTGGAGAAAGCGCACCAGGCTCTCAAAGGTGTACAGGCCCAGTCGGTCATTTCCATAATTAGACAGATGGGTCATAAATATGCTGATCTGCAAGGGGATGCCTGCACATCAGAGTCAGAGAGCCTACACCCACCTCAGAATCAGGCTTGGTGAGCAAAGGTCCAAGCCTGCAAACACTTTGACTCTCCGAGCTCCCAGCCCTTCCTCTTAGCACCTTACCGGATTAAGCAGTACTGTCAGAAAGAGCTCTCCACCTCGGATGCTCCGGTCTAGTTCACGAGAGCCTCCAGGATACTCATTATAGAAGATGGTGTGAGTGAAGAGGCCACATGTCTGCCGTGGCAGCACCTGGAAGGAAAAGAAATAGGGAGAGAGGAGATTTGAAAGGTAAAATCTACACTAACGGGAGAAATATGCAAACTGGCCGTACCCCTGCCCAACAGCCCATCAGGAGCAAGTATGCAAATTAACCCAACCAAGATGGCTGCAGCCATGGAGCAAGCAGGAGGTTTGGGTTTCCCCGGCAACAGAGGAAGCCAAGCTTCTAGCCTGCTCTGGCCAACCCTGGCCTCCCCTCAAGGCTACAAAGTTTCAATTATAGAAAATAAATCCCAGATACCAGGGCCCCCATTTGGGTTGCTGTGGGGCATGGATGACCTGCAAACCACCACAGGCCCCTCGCCCAGGCTGCCCCATGCCCCAAGAAAACTCCCACCCTGATCCAGGACACCCTTCAGGGCTAATCAGCTGGCCCCCACCCATGCACCAGGCCTCTATCCTATCTAATAAAAGAGTAATATGCAAATTGTCCATCACTCCAACACACAAGATGGCCACTACAAGATGGCCAACAGGAGAGGGCAGTTGGGAGGGACCAAGCCTGCAAGGGAGGGCAATTAGGGGTGACCAGGTTGGCAGAAAAGGGAAGTTGGGGACAACTGGGCCTGCAGGGAAGGACAGTTTTGGGGGACCAGGCCTGCAGGAAAGGGCAGTTGGGGGAAACCAGGCCTGTAGGGGAGGCCAGTTAGGGGTGACCAAGCTTGCAGGGGAAGGCAGTTAGGGGCAATCAGGCTGGCAGGGGAGCAGTTCGGCATCAATCAGGCTGACAGAGGCACTCTGATCAGGCAGGCAGGCAGAAGTGGTTAGGGGCAATCAGGAAAGCAGGCAGGTGAGCAGTTGGGAGCCAGCAGTCCTGGATTGTGAGAGGGCAGTTGGGACATCCCTTGAGGGGTTCCAGATTGGAGAGGGTGCAGACTGGGCTGAGGGACGCACGCCCCTGTGCACGAATTTCATGCACCAGGCCTCTAGTGAGTAAATAAAATACTAGGGACTCAGCCTGAAGTTACAGCAATAAAGCTCTTGTGACGTACTTTAGAAATTTTCACCCTTCTACCCATTTTTATATGGATGAGCTGGACTGGCAGTTAACAGGACATAAATCAATGCAGATTGGAGGCTGTCAAAATGTGGGAGTTCAAGTTTGTATTGGGAGTCCCTTACCATGATGCCGTTGTGAATGAAGCCACGGCGGTAGCGGGCAGGGCGGAGGTGAGGGTACTCCTCAGTGCTGGTCACCTGGATGCCCCACACAGATTTCCAGGCCTCGTAGAGCTGCGTGTGGACGGGGTACACACCCGAGTGGTGGGGGGCCACAGCATACCCCAGATCCGTGGGAATCCCATGCTCCTGGGAATGGCATAGACTCTCACCAGGACCTGGTGAAGTTTGGTGAGTAGAGGGGAAAGAGGGTGGGGATGCCTACACAGAAAGAAAAATGCAAAGGGTAGGGAAAGGGTACCCCATGAGGGGGAGGTTGAAACGGAAGCATCATCTCTGGGGAAAAGTTGGGTAAGAGATCCAAGGGCCTCACCAGAGCGAACTGTTTGTTGAGCCTCATCTGGTCAGCCAGCACCGAGCGATTGTGGAACAGGTGCGGCTGCATGTGGCTCCACATGTGCGGGAACCACCAGAACTCACGGCGGTGCTTCAGCAGCATGTCATCCCCTGCGTCCTCCTCCTCTGTCCCTGTGACCACACACTGACCACTGAACAGTCCATTAGCCCTCTGCCCTCCTCTGTTCCGGAACACTGGCCACCTTCCGTCCTTGAGACCTCTGCCCCTTTAAGACTGCCGACTTGCCCACCCGCCAACTTGCCCTCCGGTCACCCCTGCTAACCTGAATTCACACCCACCGCTAGCTCCCCACGTCATTCGGACCCCAAAACTTGCCCCAAATTGGACCCCTTTCCTACAACTTGTCTACCCAGGAAGGTGGGACAACAAATAGGTCAAACTAAGACTGACATGCTGCAGGAGCCAGGGAATAAGCTCACCGGTATGATAGAACTTGCCCGAGAAGCCCAAGTTGAAGGTGAAGTTGGGGACTAAGGTCCTGAGTTTGTTCTGGGTGGTCAACAGAGCCTGGGAAGAGTAGCGGGGACAGGAGAAATCAGGAGACAGCAAACAGTGGAAGACAAATGAGTAGCGTTCCTCCTACCTGGAAAGGGTAGGGAGGGTACTTATGGCGAGCTCAGAATCAAGGGAGTCTCCCAGGTCAGAGCTTGAGACACCTTGTGAGGAAAAAGACTGACCTCAACATCAGCCACCTTCATGCGGGTACCTTCCTTGCCCACAAAGATGTCATCAATGTCTACCAAGATGTAGCGGTCAAGGTCCAGGCAGAGCCGCTTGCCAGTGAGGTATGCGACAGCGTCAACAAAAACAAGTTTGTGGAGCCAGAAGGACAGGCCATGGCCAAAGAGCACCCGCTGGATGCCATCATGAAGTCCCAGATCTTGTACCACAGTGGGGAGTCGCGCCCGGCGAGGCACCGATCCCGGCACAGGAGGCTCAGCTGACTGAAGGCTGGCAAGAAGCACTGGCTCGTAGGTGCTGTGATTGGATTGAAAGACGGTCCAGTCATCGCCAGGCAACGGCCCAGGCTCCAGGCGGCTGGGGCGTGTGAGATGCAGCAGGGGGGCAGAAGGGTTCACTTGGTAGTCCCGGAGCCCCAGGTTGGAGTGCAGAAAAAGGGGAAAGCCCTTGAGCTGGGCACTCACTAGGCTGTGCTCATGGGCTCGGAAAAAGCCAATGATGCCCACACCATACTCCACACAGTACCGATCTAGCCGTTCCCGGCTCCAGGCATCCAGGTTGACATACTTGAGCAGGTTCTCATAAATGACCAGGACGAAGCGGCCACGACTATGATCAGTCAGTGTGGGCATGTCCCCGCGGCCAGGTGCCAGCTCGGTGCTGTAACGGAAACGGCTGGACTCCAAGATGGCCACAATCTCCTGCCCCAGCTGTGAGTATGCACTCTCCACAAACACAAGGACCACAGGTTCAGTTCGAACTGTCTCTGGAGGCCTGGGAGGCCGGGGCGGGACTGGAGGCCGTACCGGGCCAGGGCCAGCTACCCCCCCACTGCTGCAGTCTCCCAAGGGCAGGGGCAAGGGTTCCTTGGCCTTGGGGCTGGTGGATACGTAGTAAGCCAGGAAGCCCATGGAGCCCAGACTAAAAGCGATTAGCAACAGTATGAGGCGATGCAGTTCCAGCTGTCGAGCTGGGCGTGCCACCTTCCACAGCTTGAGCATGGCGGGGGGAGGGGAGGGGAAGAGAGGGAAGGGAGGGGTAGGGGGGTACCTCGAGGGAAGGGAGGTAGGAGCTGTATAGGTTAGGGCTCTCTTGGGAGGGTGGAAGGATGGGAAAATAGGGGAAAAGGATTCCCTCAGGGTCAGTTCCCTGAAGAGGTGGAGACAAGTTCTCTTAGTGAAGGGTAGGGGAGGTAGAAGGGGCAACAGGGGGCAACTGGACAGAGTCCATTGATGTCAGGTCACCATGGCCCCCTGGCCCATGGCTTCAGGATGCAAAACTAGCCAGGCTCCACCCTTGGTCCCGCTTGAGCTCCTCACATCAGAGGTCAGCAAAGTTCACGATTTCTGCCCTTCTTATCTGTAAGACAGAGAAATTGATGGATTACTTTCTCCTTGAAGCTCAATCATTAATCCATTACCCCCTTCACCCCATCTCTCTTACCTTCTGCTCACAGGATGATTTGTTAAACACACACACACAAAACAACTCCTGTAGAAGAACAACACACTCTGAATCTCATACCTTAGCTTCAGAGGTTGATTCCCTCCTTAGACTACCAGCTAAATGCTCCTGCCTGAGCTCAGCTCAGAGCTGGAGCAGTACGTTCAAGGCCAGACAGCCCAGGGCGCTGACAATCACCTGCTCTGAAAGGAGTTCCCAGCGCACGACCAAGCAGCTGGCCAGCCGGCAGGAGCTCTGCTCTTCTTGTGAGAAAGGGACAGAGAGCCCCAGGAGTCCCGTGCTCCAACGAACTATAGATAAGAGGAAACTCGTGAGTCTGTTAATCTTCTTCATCAATCAGACTCTACACCACAGGCTGACAGCATTAACAAACTTACAGTCAGGTGGACACTATTCCAGAAAAAAAGAGAAATGGTGCTAGATAACCGTTCTATTAGCTTCCAAAGCCAGAAGGGGACTCCCTTCTCCATTACTCCTCCTCAGCCTCTCTCCCCGGAGCGGGCTACATCACTGGAAAAACCGGAAGGCTGAGTCCAGTCTCCCCTATCCCTCCCAGGTCTCCTCCCTCAGTTAGCCGCGGTGGTGCTCTGTCCTCATCCATGAACAGCTCAGAAGGAAGTCCTCAGCTAGGCTGGAGACATGGGGGATCGAGTCCTGCTATAAAAACAGAAAACTGAGCTGGCCTGGATGACAGAGAGAAATAAGTCACATCCAACCAATAAGAGAGAGAAGGAGTAGGTCAGTGTGATTGGCACACAGCTTTAAGGAGACCTAGTTTTGGAGATTTTTTTTCTTAAATAGATAGACTGCTCCTAATAGCTTTATTGTTGCTCTCCCCGTCTTAGCCACTCCTAGTGAGGCCAGGGGCTGGCAATTCCTCTCTCCCACCCCCCCCAGACAGACACATCTCAGGAAAGATTAGGCAGAGACAGGGCCTTTCAGAACGGAGAGAAATGGTGTTAGAATAGTTCAGCTTGCCGAAACCGGTTTGGCTCAGTGGATAGAGCATCTGCCTGCGGACTGGAAGGTACAGGGTTCGATTCCGGTCAAGGGCATGTACCTTGATTGCGGGCACATCCCCAGTGGGGGGTGTGCAGGAGGCAGCTGATCGATGTTTCTCTCATCGATGTTTCTAGCTCTCTATCTCTCTCCCTTTCTCTCTGTAAAAAAATAAAATATATTAAAAAAAATAATAGTTCAGCTTTAGTCAGGGTAAAACTAGCTGACATGAAGAGAACGGGGGTGGGGGTGGGGGTGGGGGGGAGATCAAAAGGTGATGGGAAGGTGCAAATTCCAAAAATTAGAGGACACTCTTTGGAGGAAATACAGTAGCGAGAAGAAGCCATTACGGGCAGTGGATACTTAGGATGAGTTATGTAGAATAGTTAACACTGACTGAGAGCTTAATCTCGGGCAGACATCCTTCTAAGAGCTTTCCATATAGTTAACACTCACACCAGCCCTGAAGTCGACAAGAGATAGATACCATTATCCCCATTTTACATGCAAGTAATCGGAGGTTCAGAGAAGCTTAGCAACTTGCCCAGCATCACACATCCTCGTCGGTGGAGAACTGGGACTCAAAGTCAGGCCTGTCAAGCTCCATAGCCCGTGCTCTTGACCACTGCATGTTGGCTTCATACCTGGAAGAAACAGCAGCATGTAGGCAGAGGGTTCAGCAACATGAGGAAGCTGCTGGGCGGGTAGGGAGGGTGTGGTGGGGTGATGCCTGTAGAAGGAGGAACGGGGGCGAGGGCGGTGCTGCGGGTGCAGCAGTGGGAGGTTCTGGGGGAGACGGAAGGGTCCCCGGGCCCGGGGCCTGGAGGGCGGGGCGCGGGCGCCTGGGCGGAGGGGCACCGGGGCCCTGCTGGGGGAGTGGGGTCACAGGTGGATGGGGCGCCGAAGGGGAAGGGGCCAGGGGCGCGCCAGGAGAGGCGGGCGCAGCAGGGCAGGCGCCAGGCGGGGAGCCCCGGGGGAGGAGCCGGGTGCGGGGCGTCCAGGGGCCGAGGCCACTGCGAGGGCGGCGGGTGCAGGGGACCCGGGGCGGGGCGCGGGCCGCCGGACGACCCCGTGGGGTCCTGGAGGGAACAGGGACCGCCCGGGAGGGGAGGGGTGCGGGCGGCCGTGCGGGGGTGTCCTCAAGGGCAGCTCACCCGGCGCCCGGGCCGGCGTCCCCGCTGTCCCCGGGCCCCGCCGTGTCCCCGGGGCGCCTGGCTGCCCAGCTCTCGGGCCCTCGGGCCGCGTCGCGGCGGCTCCGCCATCTCCGAGCGAACGCTCCGCGGCAGCCGGGCGCAACCACCGCTCCCCCGAGGGGGGGCGGCGCGCCGCGCCGGAGGGGTTCGCTCGGTCCCCGCCGCCTGCGGGCTCGGCAGCAGCGCGGCTGGACGCCGGGCAGCCGGACGGTCCTCTGCGGCGACCCGCCTGGTGTCGGCCTCCTGGACGGCGTGCCCGCGCCCCACCCGCGGAGAGGCACCCCCCCTGCCGCTTGGCACAGTCAGCGGAGCGCCGGCCTCGGCTCACCGAGGGGCGGGGCGCGGGCGCGTCCACTCCGCCTGGGAGGGGGAGCCGGGCCGGCCCACTGAGGCGGGCGAGGGGGCGGCCCCTGGCGTGGGCGGGGCCGGGGCGCGTCCACTCCGCCTGCGAAGGGGGGCCGGGCCGGGCCACTGAGGCGGGGGCGGGGCCGGGGGCGGGGCGAGGCCCTAGCTCACCAGGGCCCCAATCCCCCCTCCCCCCTCCCGCCAATCCCCCAAACTCTTCTGGGCAGCCTGGTGAACTGGATGGAGGTGGGTGAGTTTATGAAGTTTTATTCCAAAATGGGCCCAATAGGGAGTGGAAACCTTGTCACCCAGGCTGCTAAGACTCTAAGCCTCTGGCCATCAACTCCCACCAGCAGCAGTAACACAGCGGAACGGTTTAAAGGTTATTTTATTAAATATCTTCAGTTCAAGGTTTCATTGTAACAAAGCTATGAAGGGTCTACCAACATTCAGAACAAACACTAGCTATTTTTTAAATTATTTCTATGTCATCATGCAAAAATTCTGCATCAAATGCCTTCCATTTCCTGTTTAAAAGGTGACTTTTTTTTTTAATAGTCTATAGTCCTATAGATGCTGACATTAGCCCCAGAGAGGAGTTAAGAATGCTAAGAAGTGGAGCTGGAGCAGCCACATGAAGCTATGGGTCTTAATGAATTCTAAGACCGTTTTGTCTTCAAGCCAGCGAAAACCAAACCCTGTGGTGGTGAAGGTGTCTGCGTGCTGGTGCTGCAGGCTGCAGGGCAGAAAAGGGCGAGGGCCCAGGGGCTGGGGCATGCATGAGGTGCTCAGAGGAGCCTGGCGAAACCCAAGCACCAGCACCTGCGAGTCTGCTCTCTTCTCAGCTGGCTCCAAGCTCAATCTGTAGCTTTGCCTCCTGAAGGTAGTCCAGGCAGCTGGGGTCTACCCACTTTCTCCCGCGGGCCCCCCTCCCCCCCAAATAGTGCAAATAATTGCGTAGACACGTTTGCACAGTTGTTTTGGGGAAACCAATGCCGTGACCAATTGCTCCTCCATTGTCTTCTCCATCGGCTTAGAGTTCCAGATCTTTCCCTCCTGGACTTGGAGCTCCTGGAGCACAGGAGGGACAGAGTGTGGGCAGGAGTCCTGGCTCTGAACACCTCTTTTGGGTACATGCAGTTGTCGTCGGTGGGGGTGATGCCCATGCAGATTGTCCAGCAGTGAAGTCTATACTTCCGTTGGTCAGTAAAGAGAACTCTTAAAAAGAGGCGGCACCTCTTCTTCTTGCCAAAGCCGTCGGGTCGATCTCAAAAAAGACAGGAAAAGAGATGGACGTGCAGCGAGGGGAGAGTAGGAAGGGAGGCAGGCAGCCCTCAGGGCAGCCCGAGTGCATAGAAACCACCATCGCCTTCAATGCCGCCGCCTCACTCCTCCCATCCCACGCGGAGGGGCGCTCGGCAGAGGGCCCAGGCCCCGAGGAGGGTCAGCACGGGGACCACCACCATGAAAAGGCAAGACAGAAACAGAACGGCCCGAGGCAGCGAAGGGAGCCCCCCCGGCAGCGAGGGCCAGGCTCTCTCCTGGCCGAGTTCTGGGAAAACAAACACGAAGCAAAGCGCAAGCCTTCCCCCTCCGCGGCGGCAGCGCCCGGGCCTCCACCGCGGGCCCGCATGCACCGCGTGCGTCCCGCAGACGTGGGTGGGTGCGTGCGTGAGGGCATGCCAGGCTAACACGAGGTTTCCCGTCGGCTCCGTGGAGCGGCCACGCCTCTGCAGCACCAGTTCTCTTTCTCCTCCTCTACACTAACGTGGGAAAGTGCAGCCACACCGGGCCCTTAGTCCCGAGGCCGCCGTCGCAGCGGCCCCCGCCCGCAGCCGGCGGGGGAGCTGAGCCTCCGCTCCCAGGCGGGTCTGATGGCCGCCGCCGCGTTCTCACCAGCCTCGTGCTGGGTGCCTACGCCGCCGGATTCGGAAGAAGTCCGTTCCCAGACCTGGGGCTGCCATCCCATCACGGCCCCCGAGGTTTTTGTCAGAGTCCTTGCCTGGTCTCCCGAGTCCACGAGGCCAGAGGCCAGCCCACCTCTTCAGGGCCCGGCGAGTGAGCCCGCTGCTCCAGCCGGGACTCCTGCCTCCTCGCCAGCCCAAGGGCTAACTGATGGTTTTAACACGCATCATGGTATGGATTCCATGTGTTTGGTTTTTTTTTAAACAATCTTTTTTTTTCTTTTTTTTTTTTTCTCCCCCTTAAATGTAAAAAACACCTCAGTACAGCAGAGACAGACACGAAGGGCGGGCGGGAGGGCTGCATGCAGGGGCGTGCATTGGCTGCTGCCGCTTTGTAATTTAATTGTTTTAAACCTCAGACGAACAGGACTGCCGCTGTCACTCAGGCCCTCCAGAGCCACTGGCTGCAAAGGTTATACCTCCAGCTGGGATCTCCTAATGCCCCTGTCACACAGGACGGACAGAGCAACAGAACAGAAGACAAGAAACACACAGGTGAGCTCCGGGAACTTCGCGCCACACCCGTGGCCTCGCCTGCCTGAGCGGGTGGAGGCCGGGGGAGACCGGGGGAGACGCCAGTATTGATACCAGTATTGAAATATATCGCCTCACGCAGGCTGAGCCCTGGCTCAGTGCTTTGCTGATTAAGTCTCTTACTGAACTCTCACAGCTTTATGGGTCAGGCACCCCTCTCTCCCTCTTCTGACAGCTAAGGAAACCGAGGCTTAGGGAAAGGAGGTACAGCCTGTCCAAGGTCACCCGACCTGGAGTCCTGGAGCTAGACCCACGTCTGTCCGATTTAAGAGCAGAACCTGGCCTCAACTGACCTGGCTCAATGGATAGAGCGTCGGCATGCGGACTGAAAGGTCCCAGGTTCGATTCCGGTCAAGGGCATGAACCTTGGTTGCGGGCACATCTCCAGAAGGGGGGTGTGCAGGAGGCAGCTGATTGATAATTCTCTCTCATCAATGTTTCTCTCTATCCCTCTCTCTTCCTCTCTATAAAAAAATCAATAAAATATATTAAAAAAAAAGAAAAAGAAAGAAAAAAAAAAAGCAGAACCTGTTACCACCACCCTGTCCAGCCCTTGCCATTCCTCTGGGGTGGCCCCCATCTCCTCCCTCCATGCCAGCTCTCCACCACCCCCGGCCCCCCAGCCCCAGCCCCTCCCCGCCCCCCACCGGGCGCACCTGTGGCTGAGCTCACTGCAGCGGTGCGGCAGGGGCCCCTGAGCAGTGGTAGTGGACATTGAGCCACTTGCCATCCCGGCGGTGCCAGACCCGGGTCTCCTCCGACTGGCTGGTGCGAGGCCGGCCCTGCCCGTCGATGTACTGGGTGAGGCGGATGTAGGCGATGCAGGCCGCGTCCTCCCCGATCACGTGGACGTGCGGGTTCAGGATGGTGGTGTGGATGGGCTTGCTGTTCTTGGACAGGACTGCAGGGGGCAGGGCGGGCGAGTCAGGGAGGAAGGTGTCTCACCCTCTCTCCACCTACCTCTCGGGGAGCCCCCGAGCCCCCCATACATTTCCAGAGGCCAGGAAACCTCATCACATTGGTCTCGTGTTATCACTGAGAGAGAGGTGGGAGCCATGGTAACAGCAGCTCCTATTTTAATCAGATATTGTGCTGGGGGCTGTAGTTCTTTGGTTGACTTCGTTTTCCTCATCAGGTAAGGAGACAGGCTCAAGGAGGGTAAGTAATTTCCCCCCAAATCACACAACACGAGCGCAGGGCCATGTTACTCTTAACTAAAGCCTCCTATCTTTCCCCTGATGTTTAGATTTCATAAGGGTTGGCTTGTTGCCAATTAGGGCTGTAGAGCAAAATCAAGAACTTAAAAAACATTCCTAGTGGATTTGTGATAAAAAAAAAAAAAAAAAAAAAAAAGAATGTCCAAAGTTCAAATTGAATCATCAAAGCACCAAGCTCAGGATAGCCCCAGGATCCTCTGGGGAAAGCCAAAAGGTTGCCATTATCAGCAAACACTGAACTGTGTTTCTTTTATTGAGATTCACATCTTAGTTCAATTCAAATGTTGGATAGGGGCTACATGAAAACTTCCCTAGAGCTTCCATAAACCCTGGGATTGCTTCCGGCTACTAGAATTCCTCAGACAGCCTAGGGCCGTGGTCGGCAAACTGCGGCTCGCAAGCCACACGCGGCTCTTTGGCCCCTTGAGTGTGGCTCTTCCACAAAATACCATGGCCTGGGCGAGTCTATTTTGAAGAAGTGGTGTTACAAGAAGTTGAAGTTTAAAAAATCTGGCTCTCAAAAGAAATTTCAATGGTTGTGCTGTTGATATTTGGCTCTGTTGACGGATGAGTTTGCTGACCACTGGCCTAGGGTTTACATTTGCCGCTGAGACATGGAGAGGGTGGTAGTAGAGAAAACAAGCAACCAAATAAAATTCAGGGCAGGATGGGGAAGACCCAGGACAAAGTGAGAAGGAAAAAAAAAAAAAAAGAGGAGGGAGGCAGGAGGGTCTGGGAGAGTGGAGACAAAGATGGGAGGCGGTGAACGGTCAGTCAGCTTCCTATCCCCGGGGACCTTTGGGGACTGTCTAGTGCACACCCCCAGCCAGGACTCCCGGCTCCCTCGATGCTCAGGAGGACCCTAGCCACCACGTGCAGTCTCACACGTCACCAGCAGCGCCTGCTCCTGGCGTGCACATTCTTATCCTGGCTTTAATCTCCTCTACTGGGACATCTGCAGACACAGAGCAGTGTTACTCGCCGAGATCGTCTCAGCTTCCTCTCAAACGGTTTCCAGTCATCTCGAGAAGAGCTGAGGCTGGCCTGGCCGGTGCGGCTCAGCTGGCCGGAGCCCGCCCCGTGCACGGAAAGGTGGCAGGTTCTGTTCCCGGTCAGGGCACACACCCAGGTTGTGGGTTCGATCCCCGGCTGAGTCATGTACCAGAGGCAACGGATGGATGTTTTCTCTCTCCCTCTCCCTTCCTCTCTCTTAAACGAAGAGAGGCTTAAAGGAATAGTGACCCTAATTGTGGCAGCCACCTCCGCCATGAGGCAGCTGCAGGGGGAAAGGGCCTTCCAAGGTGCCCTGCAAGGCCATTCTCAGGGCACACGGAGGCCAGCACACAGCCCGGGGGCGGCAGGCAGGCCAAGGAGAGGAGAGTGGGCCACGGGGAAGAGGAGAGGGTGAGCGAGGACAGAGGCCATGGGGGCGGAGGGGCAGGCAGGAGTATATCAGCAGCACGAACCCACTCACGATTCTCAAAGTAAAACTTATGGAAATCCATCCCCTCCACGAGGTTACCGAGGGCTTCGGGCTCAAAGGAAGTGAGGCCCGGGTCACAGATCTTCCTGCAGACAAGAAACAGCGGCCGGTCGGTCTTCCACGGGAGCTACTCACCATCTTTCTTCCTCATTGGGGGCGTCTGTCCTGCAGGAGGTCAGCTCTGGGCCTGGCAAGATGGCTTAGATCGGAGGGGTATGCCTGCTAAAGCCTCTTAGCCCTGCCCTCTCAGCCCACTGCCAGCACACCCGGGAGGGCTCGGCCCAGGGCATCCGCCAGGAAGGGCTCTCGACCGACCGACCGACCGACCGACCGACCGACGGACGGAGCAGCCTGATGTTTCCCTCACACACTGTGCCCGAGGCCCAGCCTTCCCTTCTCCCGGGTCCTCGCTGCTTTGGGGGAGGAGGGAAAAAGGCCTTGAGGAACTTGAGCCTCAATGAATTAGGTCTCTACTCACGTGTAGGCCTCAAAATCGCCATTGTTGATGGCCTCAATCAGCTGCTCCGTGATCTTAATGATCTCCTGTTTTCGCACTGGGGGGGGGGGGGGGAGGGAGGAGGAGAGAAAATCCAGCAATTTACCTGCGAGGGACTGGGGAGCCCCTGAGTGGCGGAGAGCCCTCCCCAGTCTTCACGGATCCCCCGTGATCTCCTTGACAGAGGCCTCCCTCTCGCCTGTCTTGAAGGCCCTTTGCAGGAGGAGGGGGCCCGCCCCTCTCCCCATCCCTCCTCTGTCTGGGGAACTAACGACCCCCTCCTCCTGAGGCCCGCCCGTTGGTTCCAGTCCTCTGGCCTTTGTCTCCCTCTCCATCAAACAACCAGGACGCAGAAAACACCCGTCTCTAACCGCTGAGGAGCTGGCACACCGTGCGCGCTCCGTGCAGAGGTGCGCACCCCGTCCCCTGCAGGCCCAGCTTCTCTAAGAAGCTTCGGATAAGGCTGTTCCCATCACCTGCTTACGTCTCTCACCTGAAGGGGCTCAGTCAGGTCTCAGTTACCAGGCCTCCCCCTCCCCTTTCCACCCAGCCCCCACTCAGGGGTCCAAAACCTCACCCCAGGCAACAGCCAGCCTGAGAGCAGAACCCAGCCAGGGGGAAGGGCTCCCGAAGCATGGATGTTAGGATGGATGCGCCACTCCCCCCCCCCCCACCCCCCTCCTCCACAGGGCTCTTCTGCGAGGACGGATCTTGGAACTATAAACACGCTCTGTAAACAGAGCCTCTCGCCAGGAGGACAGCTCCGTTTACCCCGGACAAGCCCTGGGAAGCTCTAAACCTCACAGCAGCTCTCATGCCCGGATGTGTCCCTCCGGAGAATGAAGACAAGGCACGGATGACAGGCAGGCAGAGTCGGTGCGCTCAGAGCCCCACCCCACGCCACGCCGAGGGGCGGCGGGGACATCCTGGGCTCAGGCCGGATCACTTATGGGGACAGCGCTGTCAGCAGAGGGGGCTGCGGGGGTGGGGGTGGGGCGGGGAGGGCTCAGACCGGGACTGGGCTAACTAACTCTGACCAGAACCCGGGCTGGCCAGGACACATGCCTTTCTGTCCTCACGGGAGCGAGAGGCTGCAAGACAAATGTGAGCAATTAGCACAGCACAGCCCAGTGGCACAGCCGGGCGAGGGCAGGGCAGCCAAGTGGGGCCCCACAGCCGTCAGCACCTTCAGGTTAGCAGCAGGTTAGCGGGACCAGCGAGCTCCACACACACACACACACCCTCTCCCACCCCACCAAACCCATCTGTCGGACCTGACTGGGGCCCTGTGGGTGAAGAGGGTTGTGTTTAGAAACTCTTAACAGGACAGACAGTAGGAGAAAAAGAAGCAGACAAAGGCGTGATCTACACAGACACAGCTAGAAATACCCACACCAGCTACCATGAACCCAAGCAAGGCATCGCCTCAAGATGTCCTACGACCTCATTTATTTTTAATAATAATCCTCTGAGGTAGGGGTCATTTTATTCCCATTCCCCAGGTGAGGAGACAAACTCTGGGAGGTTTAATCGGCTTCACACGCTGCTTGCTGCAAGTACTGCAGCTGGGACTCAAACCCCGGTCTGTCTCGCCCGAGCCCCAGGCTCTCCTCGAGAGGAAATGCTGAGCCGAGGGGACCCCATATCCCAGTGTGGGTTCTCGGCCATCGCAGCTCCCCAACCACCTGGCTCCCTCCACCTCCGGCTTCTGACTCGGCCTTTCTTCCTGGCTCAGGGCTGAGGTGAGACCCGGTGCGTCTCCTGCTGGCTTCCGACTCCTCCCCCCCATGCGCTGCTCTCCCCCCACGCCATGCCCGCTGGGCCTGGCCTCAGGCGCCCCTGCCTGGCTCACAGGGCCTCCAATCAGCTCCCCCACCCAGCAGGGCCCGCGCTCCCCAAGCTCACTAACGGGGCGGGGCGGGCGCTGGGCGGCCAGCTCCGGGGACCCCCAGGGGCTTCAGGAGGAGCCCAGGGGCGGAAGCCAGGTGGTGCCTCCCTCACACTTACTGGCGGAGGAGCAGAGAGAAGGCTGGGGCTGCATGCCTGCAGAGGGGGCTGTTCTGTCCCGGGAGCTCCGTCCTTCAGGCACCGAGCTGCCATTCCCAGTGCGGAGCGGGGCAGCTAGCCAGCCAGGGCAGGGCAGGGCAAGGCAGAGCAGCCAAAACAAACAGAACAAGGCAGGTGAGCGAGCAAGCCGAACAGGACCCGCGCCCGTGGCCCCGCAGAGCCAGGGCGCGACGATGCCTCGGGCTGCTGCGGGCACCGGGCCTCCCAGCCAGGAGCCCCGCGGGGGAGGGGGCGCCGGGCCGGCGGCTTCCAGGGGAGCCTTCGCACAGCCCGTCCGAGAGCCCCCCGCTCCCCGGGGAAGTGCTCTGGGGGGGGCTGGGCTACAAGGTCAAGAGCCCAGCAGTGAAGGCGCCACGTGCTCTGCCAGCATCACCAGAACTGAACCGATCTGACCTTCACCCCAGCAGCCCTGAGCGCGTTCTTTCCCGTCTTACACGTTTATGCTTCTGTGTTTTGCCCCCCCCCCCCCAAGGTTTGGTGCCCCCTGGGCAATGCTCTCTCCGCTCTGCCCTGCCACGTTCCTCCAAGTCTGGCCTCAGGTCACCCACCGAGGCAAAGGGAACCATTCCAGGCCAGCCCGAAGAGCAGGACAGAGACTCCCGGGGGTGTGACCTGCCAGGCCCTCCCGCATCCCCAGGACGTCGCCAAACGGGGTTCCGACCCCGCTGTTGGTGCCGAGGCTTTGCGACGAGAGAGACCCGCTCCTCCCGATGTGCCGGGGCCCGTCCCCGTTTTAAAACAGAACGTCCCACGTCTTGGGGGAATCACACCTCAGTCCCAGGCGGGGGGGGGTGGGTGGGTACGGAGACAACTGGTCACCCTGCTGCCGGACCCACCGTATGTGTGGGCTACTTCTGTGGGGACTCCGGGGGGTCCCTGCTCTGGGACGACCCAGCATTCTCAGCCACGGGCACAGGGCTCTGAGCCCGGGCCCTGGGCAGGCTCCGAAATAACTCCAGCTCAGCTGTATCAGTCGGGGGGGTCAGAGAAGAGACACCTCTTGCCCAGCCCGGCCACAAGAGACAGAAGCCTGCCGTGGCGGCCCACGGAACGTAGCTCGAGGCCACGCCCGCCTCTGGAGCATTCGGAGCCACCGGTCTCCGCTCCGCTCCGGGGCAGACCAGGCGGGTGCCCCACCGGAGCCGAGGCAGCTGGGACACGGCTGGCGTCCCTCCCGCCAAGGGACCTACCGGCCAGCACCTACCTTTGAGGTCCTCGTCCTCCGTGGTGGTGTTGCAGCTCTCTGTGGAGCCCTGCAGGCCAGAAAGAGCACGCTGTTCAATACGCAGCCCCTGGGAAGGCCCGGGCAGGCCAGCAGAACAAGAGCGGAGCCTGCGCTCCTGCAGGGAGGGGGCCTGGGCAGTTCCGTTCCTACCCGGCCTTCCTGACGCTCACAAACCCCGGGAGCCCGGACTCCCTCCCCAGTCTCCTCCTCCGAGTCAGTGGCACCGCCTCTGCTGCTATCGGGGCGGAAACCTAGTCACCGCCTAGGTCTGGTTTTAGATCGGTTCGTCTTGTCTTTTCTTTCTCTCATAGCTCAGGTATGCGATCTAAAATCAAGCCTGTCAGTTCTGCCCCTGAAATAAATCCCATCTCACCTCTTCTCTTCAAAGGTGCAGCGACCACCTGAGGCTAAGCTACCCACACCTGGCACCTGCACCACCAGACACTTCCTGGTCTCCCTGCTCTCCCTCGTGCCTCCGATGACCATGGCCAGAGCAGCTTTTCGGAGTCGATCAGACTGTATTACTCCCCTGCTGAGAATCACTAGCCTAAGGTGACCAGACGTCCCAATTTTTCAACAGTCCCAATCGGGACTTTTTTAAAACACTGCGGGACGCGGGACAAACTGTTAAAAAATCGGGACTGTCCCGCCAAAAGCGGGACACCTGGTCACCTTACACTAACTTCTTGCAGCTGCTGGAATCAAATGCAAACCCGAGTCCTAACCAGCAGTCCGCTTCTCTAACTTCATCGCCCTCCCTGCCACCCTGCTCCCCAACCCCCTCTTCCCGCTCGTCTCTCTGCTCGATTTCTCCTATTTCTTCCTTCCATATACATACCAGGCCCCTGCCCGTGCGGGTCCCTCCGTCTAGGGTGCTCTGCCCAAGTCTGCCTGGCTGTCCTGTTCCCATCATGTCGTTCAAACATCACCTCCTGACCACGTAACTAAAGGGCCTGTTCCCTCTTCGTGCCGTTTCCTCTAAGCACTCATCACAACTAGACTTTATCTTCGTTACTTGGTTTTTGGTTTATTATCTGCCTTCCCCACACCCGTGGAGAGGGATTTCTGTCTTGTCACGTCTATCAAACAGAACCATGGATGGTGTGGCTCAATGACTATTTGCGACTGGGAGTGAACAGGAGACAAGGTTATTGAGGACATAAAGCTGAGGCCAAGGAGACCTAGGGTCTGGTGGTATTCTTTTTAAATATACATATATTTTATTGATTTTTTTACAGAGAGGAAGAGAGACGGATAGTTCAAAACATAGATGAGAGAAACATCGACCAGCTGCCTCTTGCACACTGTCCACTGGGGATGTGCCCGCAACCAGGGTACATGCCCTTGACTGGAATCAAACCTGGGACCCTTCAGTCCGCAGGCCAACACTCTATCCACTGAGCCAAACTGGTTTCGGCTCTGATTGCATTCTTGCTCTGTTTTTCTAGCTAACATGTATTCTCATTTAAACGTCACACGTCATGGGAGAAAATCCTTTGACTATCACCCCCCAGTTCACAGAGAGAGTAACAGAGAGGCAGAGCAGCGGAGTGTCTTGTCCGGTGGCCCAGGGCCAGGATTCAAACCCAGGCCTGTCCTGTTTAGCTGAGAGCCTGAGCCCAGCTTCACTAAGAATGGAGTCACTGCCCGGTCAGCGTGGCTCAGTGGCTGAGCATTGACCTACGAGCCAGAAGGTCATGGTTCCATTCCTGGTCAGGGGATATGCCCTGGGTGCAGGCTCCATCCCCAGTAAGGGGTGTGCAGGAGCTGACCAATTATTCTCATCATTGATGTTTCTCTCTCTCTCCCTCTCCCTTCCTCTCTGACATCAATAAAAATATATTATTAAAGACTCAGGACCCACTCACCTTGATCCCGTCTGTAGCGTTATGCACCACGGTGGTCTGTGGCTCCTGTGAGGGAAGATTAAAATTACCCTCCTGGCCTCGGAGACAGACTTACTGCTCTTCCCCGAGGGACCCCACCCCTGCTCAGGTACCCTCAGAGACCTCTATCATGACCACTGGGGCCTGCCCACTAGCCATTCTCACAAGACAAAACGTCCTGACCCAACTGGGTCCTAGGTAGCTGGGAGCCCCAGGTTTGGGGGACAGCACCGGCTGGTAAAGAGAGAAGCCCGGCCAGGGGAGCTGAGAGGAACAGGGTCTGACCCTGATTCCTGCTCGTTCTGAGCTTTCTTTCCCCGCAGGACAGGTACACCGGGGGAGCTGTGGGGCTAAGGCATGGGCTGGACCCCACTGACAGCGTTCATCAAAGGGAGAGTGGGCTACGGTGTCCCAGACAGACCCAGGGCGCCCCCGCAGCAGCAAGCTGAGCCCAGAGCTGCCTGCTTCCCCCACCTCTGCCTGCCCCGGCTTCCTGCCCCCACACCAGCATGGCAGGCAGCATGAGGGTCCACAGAAAGCAGAAGGAGCAGCAGGTGCGATCACCCCTCCCGCTCTCCTAGTTACCCCCCTGCTACACCGCTAGCCTGCGCTCACAGAGGGAGTTCGGGGAGCACTCAGCGCCCCTCGGAAGAGCCTAGAGAACTCCGAGAGCACCAGCAGCACGGGCTCTCCAGAAACCCAGAGATCAGCACCATGGGGGCGGTGGAGAGAGGAACCCCAGCCCTCCTTCCTGCTCGTGAATTGCAAAGGAAAGGCTGAGGCAGGTTTTATGAGGAGGTCTCCGAGAACGCTCCTACCCTCTCCCTTTGTCAGCAACGGACTTTCCCGGCCCCCAACGCAGACCCCGTGGGGGCCCCGCCGGGGGCTGGGGGTTTAGCTCAGAGCCCTGACCACTCTTCCCCCGACAGTGAAAGGAGCAGGGCAGTTCGGCCGTGCAGGGAGGAGCATGGTCAGCCGGGGCAATGAGGGGGCCGGGGTCTAAGGGGAAGTATGCAAAGCAGCCTGATCTACAGGAATCCAGAAAGGAAGAGAGCCAGAGAGGCCTGGGAGGGAGGGCAAGAAGAGGGCGTGGGGAGGAGCAGGAGGCAGCCAGGGGCAGGGGCGGGCAGAGAAGCCGTAGTCAGGAGGTACCATGGCCGTCTGCAAGGGCGCAGGCTCTTGGGCTGGGCTTACGAGACTGTTTTTGTTGTTGCTCTGTGGCTGAGACAAGAAAACAGATGGTTTAGTTCCTCCGGAGTCACCAGAGAGCTCAGGTTCGACTCCCAGACCTCCCCTGCCCCCTGGCCTGGCCTGGAGGAGGAGCTAGGGCAGAGGTGGCCTCCACAGCGCCACGCGGACGGGAGCGAGGCTGGAGAGGTGATCCAAAAGAGGGGAGCAGTTGGAGGGGGTCCAGAGACTGAGCTCTGGAAGCATCCTCAAGGTGGGACCAGCCTTTCAAAGACTGGCTCAGAGCATCTCTCCAGAACGCTCTGCTGACGCCAGATGCAATGTCCTTGGCACAACCGCACCTCACCCCAAGAAATGCAGGAGCCTCTTCGCACGTCACAGGGGGACAGGGAAGGTGGCTTATAAGAAAGCAGAACAAAGTTCAGACACGCTGGGTGTCCTCTCTGTGGGCATTCTCCTGCTGCCCCTTCAACCTGCCACCTGCACTCCCCTCCCTCACAGCACCAGCTCAAAGCCTGACCGGAAGGAGGGACAGGAGAGAAAGAAAACATGGTCCCGGAGGTGGTGTCCAGAGAGGAAGGTGTGGGGTTTGGCTTTGCTTAGACCGGTGGCCGGCAAACCGCGGCTCGCCAGCCACAGGAAGCCCGCGAGCTGCGGTCTGCCGCTCTGTTGACGAATGAGTTTGCCGACCACTGGCTTAGACTATGCACCCACTGGCCCAGGGAGCCGACAGGAGCGTGCTGCTGGCCTTCCCGCCGACAGCCGGTAAGGACAGGTGAGCCCGGTGGGGGCTGTGGCTGTGGCTGCAGTCCCAGAGCCCAGCCCCCGGGAGAGAGGAGGCCGACGTGGCAGGGACCAGCGGGCTATCTCCTTATCTCTCCAAACGTCACACAAGGGGGGTTGGCGGGAGGATGGCAGGGAAGGAAGGAGGCTCATTTCCGGGGCAGGGCGTCCTAGCAATGCTCTCCCAGGGGACTGACGACCCCCTAACCAGCGGACTCCGTCTCATGAGGGTCCCGCGGAGCTGGTGGCCCCTGAGAAGGGGCCTGACGCCTGCCAGATCTTCCAAAGGCACAGAGACGAATGCCGCCTCCGCCTCCGCGCAGGCCCAAACGAGGATACACGCACAGAGCTGCCCAGACGGCTCTCCTCGCCCGGGGGCCTCTCTCCAGCCCCGCGGACCAGCCCGGAGCCGTCCACCCTGGGCTTGCTGAGGCGCCCAAAGCCGGGCCCGGGCCCGGAACCGCCAACCAGGAGCCCAGTGCTACACACTCCTCTGCGCGCTGCCGGCCGAGAAGAGCGTGCCAGGCGCCAGGACGTGGGTCTAAGCCCACATGAGCTATGCCCTCGCCCATTCCCGCCGGGAGGGAGGGAGGGAGGGAGCAGAGCCTCCCGGCCAGCGATGACACTGACCGTCCGTCGGGGGCTGTCTGCACCAGCCTGTCCTGCCTGCCGAGCCCGGCTGACCCAGATCCCGCCCCGGGGAAGGCTCCGGGTGCTCACGAAGCCCGTCCTCTCTGAGGAGGGCTGGGACGTCACCCGGGCGGCCCCACCCCCGGCTTTCCAGACCCCGGGTTTCACAGGGACTCGGGCTGCCGTGTGGCTCTCGGTGCCCCGTGTCCCCGGGGAAAGAAGATGGGCTCCCGCTCTGGCTCCCCGGCCGGGAGCTCAGTTGGAGCCTCGTCCATACACTAGAAGGTGGCGGGTTTGGTGACCGGTCAGGGCACATAACCAGGTTGCAGGTTCAATCCCCAGTAGGCATGTGATAGGCAACCCATCGATGTTTTTTTTTTTTTTCTCTCTCTCTCTCCCCTGCTTCCTCTCGCTCCGAAATCAATGAAAACCATTTCCTCGGGTGAGGATAACAATACACGTGTTTCCTGTTGTCTTGCAGCTGTCCCCCGGGGGCTGGCTGGGAAGGACAAAATGCCGGGCACTGCTCACGGGCACTGCACCGGGGGACAGGCCGGGAGGGTGAGGCTCAGAGACCCGAGCCTCCAGCCAGCTCCTCTGCCCAGCAGACGCCCACCGGCTGCCCGTCGGCAGGAAGCCGCTGTCCGTGCCCGGGGAGCAGGGCCTCTCCCCCTGAGCCGCGGTGAGCGAGGGTCTCTCCCTGTGCTTGCCACCGGCCCCGGGTCCCTGCCAGCTTCCCCCGCTGCCCTGGGCTGCGGCAGGCACGTTCCAATGCCCACTTGTGAGGCTACGGGGGGACATCGGGCCATGGCCCCCGCCCGGCAGGACAGGCCACACCTGCCCACACAGCACAGGCATGCAGTGAGGATGAGTGACGCGCACGCACATGGCGGAATGGGTTTGCGTGGCTGGCACAGGCGGGCACAGGCAGCATGGAGTGGGCAGATGGGTGGGCAGGCAAGGCTCACCATTAGGTGCACGCTGGAACTGGACTTCCTTTTCTGGACACACCACAGCGAGAGGGAAAGAACAGGAGAGAGGAGGTGAGAAGAGAAGCACAGAGACGCGCGGCAAGTTAGTGCACCAGCATGGGCTCTGCCTCGGGAGGAGAGAGCGGAGGGAGGAGCCCGGGCGTCCGCACACGCGGGCTCCAGACCCTGGGAGAGAAGAAGGCCTCGGCTGCCGGCTCACAAACACAGGTTTAGCAGGTTCAGAGGCGCCTCGGCCCAGCTCGGAGGAAGCTGACGGAGGAGAGTAAGTCACAGTTCTGGGAGGGGGAGGAACATTTTCATGCAGATTTACAGCTTTGGGCCCATTTCCTCTCCTTACTAGGTCTGCCTGACATTCGGGTAAAGAGCAGCTGCCAGGTCGGTGGTAAGAGTCCTCTAGACCACCCTCAGAGGAATAACATTTGACCTCTGAACCTCGATGTGCTCCCCACCCCGCTGTCTACCTAAACTGCTTTGGGATGATGAAGATGTTGAGCTTTTAAACATTATCTGATAGACAAAAATCTGGCACCCCTTTCTTTGTTGGTGTGGCCACCCTCGCTTGTAAGATTTCGATGTGTTATTTATCATTTTGCGATTCGTTGGGACATGGAAAAAAACAGGAGCGTTGGCGATGAGAAGTGCAGCAACCACACGGCAGAGATGCAAACCGTGGGGAATGCTGGGAGCAGTGATCGATCAGCCTCAACCAGATGCTCACGGACTTCATGTTCAGATGTGGGACAAGAGCATAAAAATAAAAGAGCACATGGAACACGGCAGACACATCTCCGAAGGCTGTGTCTGAGAGGTGAGGGTAATTATGCATCTTCTAAGCAGCTTGCTGGGAGACGGAAGTCCCCTTGGGCCCCATCTGTCTGCTGCTTGACTATTGCACATTCACTGGGCGACATCCACACGCACCGACCGAGGGCTGTTCTGGGCACAGCGAGCATGCTCCTGCCCCCAAAAGGCTGACCCTCTATCTGCTGCTGCTGCTGCTGTTGTTGTCACATGATCTTGAACGGAAATGCTTCTCTTTGTGGTTCTTCACTAGCCGGCATCCCACTGCACCGCTGCTGACGTCATCTATGATGTCACAAGGGTGGTGGCCACCGTCTGGGCAGTCCCAGGATCTCCTCCATGGTTCCAGAGAGTTCTCTAGCTAACGAATCCGTGCTGCGTCTGTCCGGCGATGTTGACGATCTCATCAAAAGGGGTATCCCCATTGCGTTTCATGTTTTTTTGCTTCTTTCTGTCTGTTGGTGGTCCTTGGAGGGCTTTGATGATCAGGGCAGAGAGGGAGAAAGAACTAAACTCCATCTGGCCCTGCCTGTTCTGCTTGGTCAGTTTTACCGCAATCCTCAGACCCTTCCAATCACAGGCTGCTTTGGCGCTGTCAACGCCAACGTGTTTTGGAGACAAACCCAGGGGGCCAGCCGTGTGGCACTGACTTTCCCACGGGTGCTCCTCGGGTATACAACTTGGACCTTGCTGGGTTCGCGCTCCAGGGGCACGGAGGAGGTGGCTGGTGTAGGAGGAACCCGGATTTGGGATGACCTAAGCCTCCTCCGAGCCCAAAACCAAAAGAACGGAAGATTCTTGGACTTTGCCAGATATCCTGACACTCTATGTTAGAAGACATTTTTGGGAATGTTATATTTATATTTAAAAAAAAAAGGGGGGGGGGGACTACAAATACTTAAAAAGAACGGCCCACAATTAGGAATTAGATCTAAAGAAAAAGAAAGCCTAAATATAATTAGGACTTCCATGCACCAGTCTTTCATATATGCCAAATAAAATACGGATCTTACTTTCAAAATCAAAAGGAGGGCGTTGCCTGATTACATTCACTCTTATCCCCCTTCATCTAACGAGACTGTTCGCTGTCCGTATCTTCTTTATCTTTGTCATCTCCGTGGTGCCTCCCCGAAAGCCTTCAAGTTATGGGGCAACCAACCAACGTTTACTGCGGGGAAGTGGGTTCGCCAGCTGGCTTTCCCCCGGCAAAAGCAGGGCACAGGCTCCCGACCTGCCCAGAATCCGGTCAGCGAGACTCCGCAGGGGCACAACCAGGCCCCGGCTGGGTTGGGGCGGCGTCCAGGAGCCGGTCACCACGGGCTGTTCCCCTGGGCCCTGCGCCTGCAGCTGTCCGCTCCGCTTCCTGGGCAAGGCGCTCCCAACGTGCTCCTCGCTGACTGTCCTTTTCCCAAACCGCCTTTCGTGAAAACCCGGGACAGCCTTCTCCTACCCGAGCGTTAGTTTCTGCTAGGTGAGTAGTCAGTCTTCTTTCCGCTCCTCTCTCCAGCCATGCAAAGCCAGCACACGGCAGCACTGCTGAAATCCCAGGTCATCTCTAAAGAATTCCACCTCACTTAGATCGAGACATTAAATATTTATTCGAAATTTCAAACCAGCAAAAGGGTTCAAGCCTCCTTTCCATCCTTAAACGAATACTGACACAGCGCTTAAGGAAATATCTAGATCCTCTTTCTCTCTCTCTTCTTAAACGCTGATGGCCATTCAGGCCTGGGACTGGCAGAACACAGGAGTGGTCCTCAGCCAGGCACCGCCAGCGATCTGAGAGTTGGCGGCCCCTCCGAGCGGCTCTCACTCTTCCACAGACCTTGGGGCACTGGTGTCCGCCTTCCAAGAAACCTAATTGGAACCCAAAGGCCCCAAATTCAACCCCACAAAGTAGGCTCTCTGCTCAAACTGTTGCTACTCGAGTATCTTGTGGTGGAAGCTTCTGGATAATGAGAAGGAGACCCCTCGGCGGACCTCAGGCAGCAGGCACTGGGGCAGGAGGAGCCGGGCAGGAGGAGAGGGGATAAAAGAAAGACCCACGACGCGGACAGTTGAGGATTCTGAGCCCAGTCACAGCCTCCCTCCCGGCCCAGCGTATCGCCACCACTTTCAGAAAACCAAACCCTACGTCTTAGGTCCATCCAACGCGTCACTGTCATATCCTTGTTCCCGATCATACAAGCAATGTGGAAAACAGGAAAGAATGGGGGGTGGGGTGGGGGGGAAGCTGAATTCTATCACTCTTGCCAGTCTTTTCTTACACAATTTAAAAATGTCATTATATTGCCGAGACCGGTTTGGCTCAGTGGATAGAGCATCGGCCTGCGGACTGAAAGGTCCCGGGTTCGATTCCGGTCGAGGGCATGTACCTTGGTTGCGGTCACATCCCCACTTGAGGGTGTGCAAGAGGCAGCTGATCGATGATTCTCTCTCATTGATGTTTCTAACTCTCTATCCCTCTCTCTTCCTCTCTGTGAAAAATCAATAAAATATATTTAAAATAAAAATGTCATTATAAGCTATATACAAGTTTATGCTTTACTGAGAAAAGAAATAATTTCATTTTCATTCTGGTTATCCAAGTAATGCATCATCTAGCTGAAATATACAGGACGTACAGAAAAATGTGTAAAATAAAAGCTTCCTAAATTCCCATCCCCAGGGAGGTTATTATTAACACATCAATGGGTTTTCTTCCAGTTCATTTCTACCCGCGTGCCAGCCATATACTGAATATGATCTATCGACATGTTGTTGTTTTTTAAAACAAATGTAGACAGTAGAGGGTGTACTGCTTTACACCCCACTTAATATGAAATGTCTCTGTCATTATATCACATCTCCGTCATCACTGGCATGGCAATTAGTAGCTTTAGAATGGCCTATTAAGGACTTCCCATAATGACGTGGTCATCATCGACTGGCTTTTGAGATCATCTCCGGTCTTTTCACGGCTATAAGTCACGTCACACTGAACATCTTTCTGCTTTCGGTTTCCTCCACATTTTGCATAACTACTTCTTCCGGACAAATTCCCAGAAGCAGACTTAACGGGGAGACAAGGCAGGCACGCTTGATCGGTTCTGACACTCAGGCCGCTTTACAAGAGGTCGTCCCGATTTCCCACTCCCTCCCTCGGAGAGTCAGAAGCCGCACTCTGTTCCGATGTGTACTTCTGTCTGGCTAACCCTAATCCCCCCACGAGAGCCGCTCCCCCTCCTGTCCAGACAGACCGTCAGTCCCTCTTCTCTGCCCCCCATCGGCTGGGTTTGGGGAGGATTCTCATTTAGCAGAGAAATCTCTTCCGTATAACTTCCCATCACACCTGCAGGGCTGGTTTCCCCCGGCCGGCCTGTGCCTGCCCTTTGAACGTGGGTCGGCCATTCTCTCCTCAAACACTTGCACCTCAGCCTCTGGGGTCCCCCCACGATGTTCAAAGTCCTTCCTCCAGAATCAAACTCATTTAGAGAGCACATGAGGCCAGGCACTGGCTGGATCCCCCACACACGTTTTCATTCAGAGCAGTTTAGGGGATTCTGTTCCCCGAGTTCTCATCCTCACGTCCTGGAAGGATGTCGCATACCCGTTTTCCCCCACCTCCTTGTTCTTTCTGCATTTCCTTTGTTGAGCCCTCCTTTTTTCTTCCAGCCCCTTAATAATAGACGGCCCCCCGAGTTTTGCCTCTTAATCCTTCATGGATTCACATGGGGGAAGGGGACGTATGATTAAAGTTCAGACTTTGCCAAGACCGGTTTGGCTCAATGGATAGAGCGTCGGCTTGGGGACTGAAGGGTCCCGGGTTCAATTCCGGTCAAGAGCATGTACCTTGGTTGCGGGCATATCCCCAGTAGGGGGTGTGCAAGAGGCAGCTGATCGATGACTCTCTCTCATCGATGTTTCTAACTCTCTATCTTTCTCCCTTCCTCTCTGTACAAAATCAATAAAAATATATTAAAAAAATAAATAAAATTCAGACTTTATCTCCCACCCAGGGCTTTCTGGATCTGGATTCCAGGTTACCCTGGAATCTGTACTTTTAATTAGCTCCTTAGGCGAATCTTACATGGCCACACCAGACGGTCATCCATGGGGGCCAAGCATCTAGAAGATCTGCTAGAAACATGTCCCTCAATGGCTCTGATCCACCCTCTCACCGCCATCTCGGCGGTCACTGCTTTACTGCAGCTCCTGTTTGGCGCCCTCGGTCTTCGCTTCCGCCGGCAGACACCAGGGATCCAGGTTCCCAGAACCACCGGGCTGCCCAAACTCGAGTATCTCAGCGCATGCTGTTCCCTCTGCCTGGAACATTCTTCTTCCTTCTCCTCTCCTCAACCTGGCAGAACCCAACGAATCCTTCCAACTCAGCTCATGGGCTGTCTCTTCCAGAAAGGTTCCCTGTTCTGGCCCCGATGCTGGTCTCTCTCGCTCCTGCAGCCTCCCCGCTCCCGCAGCCCCGTGCACACCCCTCACGGCCCTCGGCAGACCGTGCCGGGTCAGGTGGCTTCCCCGTCTCCCCCACCGTGAGCACTGAAAGGGGGCTATGCCGCTGCTTCCTGAGGGCGGACTGGCGATGCACTCACGTGAGCCCCATTGGCACGTCCAGTGCAGCCCTCCCCTTGGGGGTACCCCAGGTCGTTCCCCACCCAGATCCCCGTCGCCTCTCAACCTCCAGGTGGTCAAAACCAATCTTGTCCCTCCCGCTGGGCCCTCCTTCCCACTGCTCCATGTCGAGCAGAGGCACCACCAATCCCTTCGACATTCCACAACTTCTATGTTATCTTCGACCGACCCTTTCTTAACGCTCTCCCCCCTGACACATCTCTGAGCTGAACTCCGATCTCCTCAGACCCCAGCATCCCTGGGCACAGCCAGACCCACTGCCCACGGAAACGCCTGTCCCGGCGGTTGGTGCGAATGCTCTTCTGGTGGGTGTTTTGAATATTACCCCTTTCTATTTCTAATCCCTTTTCTTCACCCTGCACCCAGACTGTCACAAATTCTAAACCGATAGCTCTGTGTCTGGGTGGTCAAAACAAAGTGGGACCAGACGTCCCACTTTTTAACAATTGGTCCCGCGTCTCGCGGGACCCTTTTAAGACGCCGCGGGACGCGGGACCAATTGTTAAAAATCGGGACTGTCCCGCCAAAAGCGGGACGTCTGGTCACCTTACCTTAGCCACATCTCTTAAAACAAAACAAAACAAAACAAAACAAAACAAAACAAAACACAACCCGCTTATGTAGCTTCCTTCTCGGTGGCCTTCAGCGTTTCCTGTGGTCTGACAGACAGCCCTGCCATTCCTCTGCCCAACGAGACCCACCCAGCTGTGTCTCTGACACCCCTCTCTCTACCACGCACCCCGTGCCAAGTGGCAGGACACAGAGATATTTCTTGTTGTTCTTACGTTATAGGATACACTCTCACTTTAAAGAACACACTCACACACAAAAGGTGTGTCCCCTCCCCCGTCCTCACCTCTAACCCCACTCCCTAGGGGCCATGACTGACTTGGTTCCCAGAAGCTTCTTCCACAGAACCATCTCGCGTAGGGTCCGGCACCACGGACCGTCTCACGCTAAGCGCGGGTCCCAGGCGTGCCCATCTTCCTCTGGGACGACCTCTCAGCTTCCGCAGCTGGAGCACAGCTTCCCCTCTTCCTAACGCACCGCCTCCCACACCCCTGGGTGCTCGTAGGACTGAGGGCAGCTCTGGGCCACACGGCTACTGATGACACCCTCCGTGAAGGTTGGCTGATTCTACCCTGTTTCCCCGAAACTAAGACAGTGTCTTCTATTAAATTTTTTTCTCCCAAAGTTGCGCTAGGTCTATTTTCAGGGGATGTCTTATCTTTCCATGCGCTAGGTCTTATTTTCGGAGGATGTCTTATTTTCGGGGAAACACGGTAGCAGCTATTCCCCCCCAACCCCCCCAAACAGAAATATGTAAAACCGCTCTCCAGCGACACCTGCCGCCTTTCCCACCGTGGTTCCACCATCCGGCTCACGTCCGTCCGTCCCCACGGCTGGAAGGGGCTGCGGTCAGCCCCAGCGCCAGGGCAGCAGCGAGCGCAGAGCCCGGGCTCCGCTCCCTGGGGCAGGCGTACACAGAGCACGCACGCAGAGAATGAGAGGAGGGAGGGGAGGGGGCGGGGAAGAAACGGGCTGCACGTGTGCACCTCAGCCGGGGGCACGGGATCCTGGGGAAAGGCGCGGCAGAAACGCTTGCCAGGATGGAAAGGTTTGGTAACTTCAGTTTGTAATGCTCCGTCGTCATGTAAATGGATAGGCTTCACGGGAGCATGGACTCCTGTCCCACGCCCCGTCCCAGGGCCCTTTCTGTCCCCACGGCTCCCTCCTTGGGCCCTGTGAGGACCCCCGGCCACCTCTCCTCCACTTTGGCCAAGCAACCACTCACTCCAGGGCTTCCTACCGGTCCCTGCAGGCCCTCGTCCCTCCTCTTTCCCAGACTCCCCCCACTCCCCCCGGGAAAAGCTCCGAACGGATGGGAGAGAGCTGTGCCTCCCATGTCCCTCGCCTGCTTCCCAGGGGCCTACGCCTCGAGGAAGTGTAAGACACTTCCAGTGAGAGGTAGCAGAGCAGGGGGGGGAGGGAGGGCTCGAGATAAGCAAAGACCAAAAGGACAATGGCTGCAGGCGAGCTTTGCTTTCCCTCGGTGAAAAGGGTTTGTGCTTTAGAAAGAACAAGAAAGGACAACAACAACACTTAACCAAGTGACTAACAAAAACACCCAGAGAGTCAAAAGCCCTGCAAACGAGGCACCTGCCTGGAAGTCAAGGTCAGGACTCGGCTTCGGCAGGACTGCAATTTGGACCAGTTCCCGGGAGTCTTTGGGGATCGGCGAGGGCCAGGAGAGACACACCCGCCCTCCGCCCTCTCAGGCCGGCGGAACCTGCTGCTCCGAGCACACAGGTTTCTGGCGTAAAGCGGAGCAGCGAGGACAGGCAGGTTCCCAGGGACACGGGGACCGGGGAGCCGAGAGTCCCCGTCAGTGACTGCGGGAGGGAGAGGCCGCCTCGGGTGAGCTGGGCGGGGAGACACCTACCTTGACGCCGCCGTCTGACTTCTTGTTCAGCAGGCTTTTGGCAGCTGTGGAGACAAAGAGGACAATCAGGTCTCTGGCCGTGCACCCGTTCTCCAACCTGACGCCCGGCGCCCGGGTCCGCGGGGGCCGCCGTGTCTGCAGGGGGGGCCAGGCGCCTCCGGGAAGCCCTGGAAGCAGAGCACCGTCTGGTAGCCCCCAAGCACCAAGGACGGACGTGTCTCAAGCAGCGCCAGATCCTCGGGGCGGGCCCCCGGGCCTCCTCTGCCACGGAAGGCGGCTCGGCAGAGACAGGGACGACACACTGTGCTCGGGAGCAGAAACCACATTCAGTACCAGAGCCGCCGGGGGGGGGGCCCCCGGGGACTCTGCCTCCGACAGCTTCCACCCGGGGGGGCCGAGGGAGGGCGGAGCGCCAGGGGGAACGGCGAGGGCTCCGTCCCTGGACGCCACGGAGAGTCTCGGGGGAATGGCCAAGCCGGAAGGATGCAAGACATCGGAGTGTTCTCAGGAAACGAGAGTGTCACAGTTCACGAAGGAGACCAGACGTGAGGACAGACAGACACAGACACAGGGACCAGGACCACCTACAGGAGGGTTTTGCCGGGGGGGGGGGGGGTGAAGCCTCGACGTGGGCAGGTCCTTACCGGGTTGACTGGGTCCTGTCTGCTACCCTTCCCCGGGGCCGCTCTCTGAGCCCACTGAGCAGAAGGGCCGGGCAGAGCCACAAGGCATGACCCAGAGCCCAGCCGGCACAGGGTGCTGAGCTCTGTGCAGGGCGGCCGGGAGCAGACAGGAGATGGGAGAGTCTGGGAGGCACCGGGAGATGGAATCAGCTCAACTGTCTGATCCACTGGACTTCGCTGGGTTTGCATCGTAGTTCTACCACTCGCTAGTTATCTGCGTGACCTGGAGTGAGTGAGGGGCTGCACCGGTCCGAGCCTCCGCTTTCTTAAACCCAAAGGGCCTGGGTCACAGGACAGTGGCGGGATCCAGAGGGATCATGCGTGGGAAGCACTAAGCGGAGTGCGTGGCGCGCAGCAAGCACGCGGGAAGTGCCAGCAGCAGCTGCCACGCTTGCCTGCAGGCGGTCGTTCAGCCCACGCCGAGGCCAGCCTCTCTGCAGTGAGAACAGGGGTCCTTCCATCGCAAGAAGTCTGACCCCTCCCCGCCGAAAAACGGCCTTTGGTCCAACCTCCCTCTAGGCGTGTTGGCGTGACTAGAAAGTTATGTTTTTAGCCGAAACCGGTTTGGCTCAGTAGATAAGAGCATTGGTCTGCAGACTGAAAGGTCCCAGGTTCGATTCCGGTCAAGGGCATGTACCTTGGTTGCGGGCACATCCCCAGTAAGGGGTGTGCAAGAGGCAGCTGGTCGATGTTTCTAGCTCTCTATCCCTCTCTCTCTTCCTCTCTGTAAAATAATCAATAAAATATATATTTTTTTTTAAAAAAGAGAAAGTTACGTTTTTAATGTATTTACTAGGAGGCCTGACCACCTACTATATTAAGTGCCTTACGTACATCAGAGTTCTCAACTCCAACTGCCCATTAGGATCAGTTGGGGAGCTTTAAAAAAAAAAAATACTTACCCCATGCCTAGGGATTCTGACTTTATTTGCCTGGGGTGGTATTTTTTTTTTTTTTAAGTCCCAGCATGGGTGTTTTTTTTCCACAAGCTGTCGTGGACAGGCAGGGTGGAGAGCCTTCCACCTTCATGATCACACTCGTCACCATGACGTTGGTCAGCCCCCCTGGCGGGACGGGAACACGGAGGCTGGGAGGGCGGGCACGGCCTGCTCGGGGTGTGGCAGGGCTAGGATCCAAACCCAGGACGCTGTCTCCACAGCGGCACACTCTGGCCTGGCAGCCCGGAGGCCTGGGACGCCAGGCTCCCCAGTGTGGAGGGGCGCGGCGCCCCCTGTGGGGTGTCCCGCAGAGCTGCTGCGGCCTCGCCCTGCGGCCGCCCGGAGGAAAGCCTCCTGCTGCCTGCTCCAGTCCCCAGGCCACTGCCTCCTGCGAGTCCGGCAAGCGCCCAGCATGCACGGCTGGTTAGGGGCTCCGTAACACCAATGCGCTCGCAGATGCCAGGTTAGGTGGTCCATCGGCATGCCCATCTCAGCCCGCAAGCATGGGACTCGCCTCCCTGGTGCGCGGCCTGGCATGCTGGCCCTCCTGGCGGGGTGGCGGGGGCCGAGGCAGGCGGTCGGCCGGTCGGTCGGTCGGTCGGTCGGTCGGGGAGGACTCATGCCACGTACCTTGCCCGGCTAGGCCGGCGGCGCTCGCGGCAGGCGAGGCGGGGGCGGAGCTCTGCCTGCCAACTGAGGGGATACAGTCTCTCAGCGCCCGGCGCTGCCGCGAAGCCGCGGGGGCCAGCCCGCAGGAGCATGCCCCAGCCGGGAGCCCGCCGGCCGGCCGCCCGCGCACGGCAGGGCCCGGGCGGGCGGCGTGGCCAAGCCGGCCGAGCTGGGGGAGCGAAGGCGCCGGGGGAGGCCGAGGAGCAGGCGCAGCCAGCCCTGCAGCGGTCTGGGGGCCTGGGGGGACGGGGCGAGGCGGCGGGGCGGGGAGAGGCCACGGCTCCCCTCGGGGCGGGGGGATGGCGCCAGCACGTGTCCTGTGACCACCTCGGAGGAGGGTCTGTCTACGGGGAGAGCCTGGCTGGAGGCCCTGAGGACACCGAGCCTCACTCCCCCGCCCCCCCTCTCCCTGGCGGCCTGACGGGGGCGTTCCCAGACAGCCGTTAACCGGCCGCAGTCTGGACTGAGAGAGACGGGCACTCAGGGCCCAGCGAGGTCCCTGAGGGCCACACCCCTGGCTCCTCAGAGATGGCTGCTCTCCCCCTCCGGCAGGGAGCGGGGATTGGGGGGGGGGGGGGCGTGGAGGGCGGCTTTTCCCTGAATTTCCCAGGTTCTGGGGGTCCAGATGCCGAAGAAACGAGGCCCCGACAGAAAGCCCAGGCCGCCCAAGCCCTGATTTCTCCACCAGCCAGCCTGCCGGAGTCCGGCTGAGCTGCACCCCGCCTGGGGTCCGCTCCTCGTTCCTGGAAAAACACCCTGGTGACCTTCCTCCGGGGTCCTCCTGCCACACCTCTCTGCAGAAGCTCCGGAGCCAGGCCTCAGCCCCGGGGGCCTTGGCTCTGGCCGGGCGAGGAGGACGCAGAGGCCGGGCAGCCGGGCAGCGGGGGCTCCGGGGGGCGCTCTGCGCTTTCGGGGAGCGGAGCGCGGAGCCCGGCCTCCGGACCCCAGGGCGCCGGCTTCCGGAAGGGCGCAGCGGCCGAGGCCCGGGCCGGGCACATGCTATTGGCTTCCCAGCAGCCTGTCCGTCCTCCGCTCAGAGAGAGGGCACTCTCCGTTCTAGGGGCCGCCCAGAAACGCCCTGAAAAAGGCTCTTACACCACGAAGGCCGAGGCTGTGAGGGTGGGAAGCAGCAGCGGTGGGCCTCGCCCTCCTGCTCCCCCTGGCCAGGGGTGAATGCAGGGCACGGCCTTCCCCTCGTGGGTGCCCACAACCCGGGAACGAGCCCCCGCCAGGGCCAAGGGGGCGCTCTCGGCTCCCTCTCCAGGCCTGACCCTCCGGGGCCCTGTGGCTCTCGCCCGGCACCAGCCCCTGAGGCCCCCTGCCCGCGCCCCGTGGCTTCCTCAGAGCCAGGAGCCAGCACGGACGAGCCCATCGGGACTCGGGTTCAAGGGAGCAGCCTCTGCCCAGAGTGGCTGCCACAATGCCAGCTGGGGCAGTGCGGGAGGAGAGCGGGGAGCGAGTCCTGCCAGGAGAACGGGAGCAGTGGGCCCGGGGGTCAGGGGCCAGGGGGCGGGAAGAGCAGGGAAAAGGGCAAGCAGAGAAGTGAACGTCTGTCTTCTGTGAGGCCTGACACGGATGTTTCTCTCACAGAAAAGGCCACTGCGTTGCCCAGCGGAGGGCACACATGAGGGGGCGGGGGCGGGGGCGGGGCGGGGCCGGGTGGCCGGGTGGGGAGGAGGCGGAGTGTCTTGCATCTTGAAAAGAAACGTCAAGTGTGATTGACAACGTACCGGCCCCGGCTCTCCTAGTTCCTCATGCACCTTTAAGCGAGGGCCTTCCCCTCCACCCTCCACCTCTGCCCTCTCACAGCCCGTGTCCCGGAGCGCAGGCTGAGCACCGGGGCTGGACAGGCTCTCAGCCCCGGGGAGGCGTCCATCCGTCACCTCTCCTCAGACGCAGCGGAGGAGCGAGCATCACGTCTGCAAACGACTTCCCTGCCTCTCGCCTCCGCGTCCCCGGCACCTCCTCGGGCGCCCCGGACACGGGCTAGCACCTAAGCGTGCCGAGTGCCTCGGAGCGCTCGGTCCGAATCCCCGGGGAGGTGCCCGGGAGCAGGGCTCCTGTACCTGAGTCCAAGGAGAGCCCCCGGAACACCAGGCCCCGGCCCGGCCGCAGAGGGTCCTTGTCCTCCTGGTCCGGCGGCCGCCAGGCGCCCCGCCCGGACCCACTCACCTCGCGGAACGGGAGCGCGCGGCCGGAGGACGTACCTGAGAAGTTCCTGGAGACGAGCATGGTCGTGAGGATGGCACCCTGGGGGAGAGGAGGGGACTGTGAATCCCGCCGGCCGGCCGGCCGGCCGGCCGGACTCCGGGAGAGGGGAGCCCGGTCCCAGGCAGGGGGCGGCTGCCGGCGGGAGCCTGAGCACAGCAGGTCTCTCAGGACCCCACGCTGTGCACCGTTCACGTCTCCACTGGGGCGGGAGGAGAGCTTCCTGCCGTGATGGGGCTGGGGGGGAGGGGGCTGGGGGGGGGGACACACGGTCAAAGGGACGCTGTCAGGGCACCGGGAGCCCCGGAGGCAGGACTCACCTTCAGTTTCCTCCGGGCATTGAACTTGCGCAAGCACTCCACCGTCTCCTGGCGATGCATCATGGACGCCACCGTGGACCGTTGCTGAAGGACAGACAGACAGGCAGGCAGGCCCGTGAGTCCCCAGGCGGGTTCTCGGACCCCTCGCCCTGGTCCCTGCACGGACGGCCACGCACGCCAGCCGCCCCGGAGCCGCCCAGAGGATACCATGAGGTCACAGGCGCGAAGATGCTTTTAGAGCAGAAGCTCTACCCAGAACTCAGGGTGAGGGGAGGACGAGGAACAGACCGTGAGTGAGACACCCGCGCCGGGAGGAGGGGCCCGAGGAGCACGCTCAGTCCCTCGGGGAGCGGGAGGCGGAGGCGGGAGCCGAGGACCGGGCTCCTGCTGCTGTGACCCCCGTGCCTGCCTCCGCAGCACCGCTTACTGCGCCCCGGCCGGAGCGGTGAGGACAGCCCGGGGGCCGCTCCGGACAGAGAACCCTGGCTCCTCCCGAGGAACTCCTCTGAGCGCGCCCCTAGCATAAGGTGACCAGACGTCCCCATTTTCAACAATTTGTCCCGAGTCCCGCAGCGTTTTTAAAAAGTCCAAAAGAGCCGAAACCGGTTTGGCTCAATGGATAGAGCGTCAGCCTGCTGCGGACTGAAGGGTCCCAGGTTCGATTCCGGTCAAGGGCATGTACCGTGGTTGCGGGCACGTCCCCAGTAGGGTGTGTGCAAGAGGCAGCTGGTTGATGATTCTCTCTCATCGATGTTTCTAACTCTCCATCCCTCTCTCCTCCTCTCTGTAAAAAAATCAATAAAATATATTAAAAAAAAAAAAAACGTTCAAAAGATTTAAAAGAATCTTTCCAAAAATCGGGACTTTTTAAAAAATGCTGTGGGACGCGGGACAAATTGTTGAAAATCGGGACTGTCCCGCCGAAACTGGTTTGGCTCAATGGATAGTGCGTCGGCTTGGGGACTGAAGGGTCCCAGGTTCGATTCCGGTCGGGGGCATGTACATTGGTTGCGGGCATATCCCCAATAGGGGGTGTGCAAGAGGCAGCTGGTCGATGACTCTCTCTCATCGATGTTTCTAACTCTCTATCTCTCTCCCTTCCTCTCTGTACAAAATCAATAAAATATATTTAAAAAAAAAAATCGGGACTGTCCCGCCAAAAGCGGGATGTCTGGTCACCTTAGCCTAGAAGGACCTAAAGGAAGCTGTGATCTCAGAAGCTTTTTATCATTTTTGGAAGGAAATCTTCCTAACCGCCCTAGGGCTAACTTCCTTCGAGGGACGTGATACGCATCTCTCCGATGACTCAGGGGCAATGGCACAAGCATCGGTTACCACACAGCGCAGACCGGCAAGGCCCTCGGCGGCCACCAAGACAGACAGGGGAGCGGAGGGAGGGGCCTGCCACAGGCCCCCCAGGACCCCCTACTTCTCTGTTCCCGAGAGACCATTTTCAGCTACTCACCACCTCCCTTTGCTGCCGCTGCTTAGCCCTGGCCAGCCGGCAAGAAAGAGTCACCCGCCCTAGCCGGCGTGGCTCAGGGGATAGAGCGTCAGCCTGCGGACTGAAGGGCCCCAGGTTCGATTCCGGCCAAGGGCACATGCCTGGGTTGCGGGCTCCATCCCCAGTGGGGGATGTGCAGGAGGCAGCCAATCAATGGTTGTCTCTCATCATTGATGTTTCTCTCTCTCTCTCTCTCTCTCCTCCCTTCCTCTTTGAAATCAATAAATATATTAAAAAAGAAAAAAAAAGATAGACATCCCCTACCTGGAGATGTCTGGAGCCCACAACACGGGGCCACTCTACAGGCCCCCCCCCCCCCCCCCCCCCCCCCCCCCCGCTGCTCCCTTTCCTGGTTCCCAAAGCAACTCTCCCAACCTCCTCTCTCGTTCCACCTCCTCCTCCAGGGCGTCAGCTTCTGCCCTAAGAGGAAGGACAGCCTCAAGCTCAACAGCCCCACCCTCAGGCCGCCTGTCCCCCGCCTGCACCTCATCCGGCCTCCGCAGCAGCATCCATCCCTCCTGCCCAGCGCTGACCTCCCACCTGGGCTTTGAGCTACGGAGACCTTCGCTTCCGCAATCAGCTAATGTTTTTAACCCCTTTCTCCAGATTATACCCTTCCCTGCAATCTATCTATTGTAGTCAAGCCCCTCCTTAAACAAAAATGTTGAAACTCCCCTCGCCCTGTCTGTCTGTCTTTTCTAAGAAATACCACTCCTTTCGCCCTTCAGCCCCATTCGCTCTTCTCCTCCCAGAAGACAGGCTGACAGGCCTCCCTCCCTGCCTCTATCAGCCACACATGAAATAGTGGCCTCTCGTGGGTCAGACCAACGGGTTCTTTTCTGTCTTTTTTTTTAAGTTTTTTTTTTTTTTAAATATATTTTATTGATTTTTTTACAGAGAGGAAGGGAGAGGGATAGAGAGCTAGGAACGTCAATGAGAGAGAAACATCGACCAGCTGCCTCCTGCACACCCCCCATCGGGGATGTGCCTGCAACCAAGGTACGTGCCCTTGACCGGAATCGAACCTGGGACTTTTCAGTCCACAGACCGACGCTCTATCCAAACTGGTTTCGGCTCTTTCCTGTCTTTATTGGACTCTCTGAAGCAGTGGTCACCGTCCTTTCAGACCTCATGAACCACTAGAGGTCTGCGATCACTGTGCCAACAACTGCTAAAGCGTGCGGTTGCAGATGCTCCTGGACTAAAAGCCCCTGCTTCTGAGGGCCTCCTGCTCCTCCCGCACGGCAGTTCTCATTCTCAGTCCCGCTGCAGGCTCCTCTAACTCCAGCAGGACATGCTATGTTCCGTGGCCATCTCTCCTCTCACACAAGCCCACAGGAAAACGTCAACTGGCAAAGAAGCAAGCCTCAACACCACCTGTACGAAAACGACTACTGCCTGCACTCCAACATTCACCTTTCCAGTCTCCAGAGCCGTGTTTCCAACGACCCTCGGAAGGTCTCCAGCCGGATGTCCTCGGACACCAGACTCAGTGTGTGCAAAGCTAAAACCATCGTGTTTTTTCTCACAATCTGGCTCCTCCCCTGGGTTTCTTCAGGGTCAGTGAATGGCACAACCGTCCGTCAGTGATCAACTCAAACCTGGCAGTCCCCAGAGAGTCCTCTCTCTTCTCCCAAATGCAAGGCGTCACTCCAATTCTTCTGATGCCGACTCCCACATATCTCCATGTCCTCCTCTTCCTGCCACACTGCCCACCACACCGTTAACCTCTGCTGAGACCTCACCTGATTTTGTCGAGACAATCACAAGGCCCTGAGCTCTCTGCCTCCGTCCCAGCCTTTTTCCTTTCCTTTCCTTTTCTCTCTCTCTCTCTCTCTCTCTCTTTTAAATATTTTATTGACTTTTCACAGAGAGGAAGGGAGAGGGATAGAGAGCTAGAAACATCAATGATAGAGAAACATCAACCAGCTGCCTCCGGCACAACTCCCACCGGGGATGTGCCCGCAACCAATGTACATGCCCCTGACCGGAATCGAACCTGGGACCTTTCAGTCCATAGACCGACGCTCTATCCACTGAACCAAACCGGTTTCGGGGCCTTTTTCCTTTTCAACCCATTTCCTACACAGCCTCCAAAGTGGTTTTCCTTAATTACAAACGGTTCCCTATTTTTTCAGAATAAAACCTGAACTCCCTTCGGCAGAAACGTGTATGGGCTTCATTCTCTTGCAAACTAGCATTGCTTAAACGCACCACAGTTTCCGGTGGCCTCTCACCCTGGCCCAAGCTAACCTGTCTGCAGGTTACCATCCTGAGGAACGCCTGGCCACCTCCTCCACGCAGCCCTTGGCAATCCTCCCTCCCTCAGAGACAGCAGGTGCACCTAAGCACTCATTAGATGCTTCTAGGTACTTGTCACATCACAGAGTGGCTGTGTGTTGGAGTGCCCACCTCCCTGGATAATCTGTGAGATCTCTGGGGGAGGGACCGTGCCTCATTCGTCTTTGTATCTCCAGCTCCCACACGGCGACCAGCACCAAGAGGCAATCAGTAAACACAGGAATAATACATCAATGCACGGTGGCTGTCACACGGCCTAACTCCGTGGTCGGCAAGCTGCGGCTCATGAGCTACGTGTGGCTCTTCCACAAAATACCACGGCCTGGGTGAGTCTATTTTGAAGAAGTGTCGTTAGAAGAAGTTTAAGTTTAAAAAATTTTGGCTATCAAAAGAAATTTCAGCTGAAACCGGTTTGGCTCAATGGATAGAGCGTCAGCCTGCGGACTCAAGGGTCCCGGGTTCGATTCCGGTCAAGGGCATGTACCTTGGTTGCAGGCACACACCGAGTAGGGAGTGTGCAGGAGGCAGCTGATCAATGTTACTCTCTCATCGATGTTTCTAACTTTCTATCCCTCTCCCTTCCTCTGTGTAAAAAATCAATAAAATATATTTTTTTTAAAAAGAAAAAACAAATTTCAATCATTGTACTGTTGACATTTGGCTCTGTTGACGGACGAGTTTGCCGACCACTGGCCTAACTGTAGCAGACAGTTAGGCCTCTGCTTTGCGTGAACAGGTAATTCCAGCTCGCTAGGACTGTGTGTGGAAACGAGACGACGCTGACCCACACCCGGAGCCTCGGGGCTCCCCCAGGGTGAGCTTCGTGCCTGAACCTCAGGGGCTCTTTTTAACTGTTCAGGGGCCCCCTTCGTTTCTGCTGAGTCTTGGTTACACTTCCATTGGAGTTAGTATGAGAGCTGAAGCCTGAATATGCAGTTCACTCTGGGCTGCGCCAGTTTCTTCCTCTCACCCACCACCCAGGGTCCGTGGACATCAGCCTAGGCCCTCGTGCAAGATCAGAACCAACTCCCACCGGACAAGTGAAGGGGAGGGAGGCGGGGAGAGGCCCACTGGCCCCACACGTCCCCGGAACCCCTCCATGCGATGTTCACTGACTCGGGCCCCTCCCTCTCTGCTGAGTCCTTGCTCAGGGCCCAGAATAACTCTTCTCTGCTCGTGAATGAAAAGGGGGAGGCGGGTGCGAGGGCCCACGGGCCTCCTCCGTCCCGGGTGACGGCACTTACGCAGACCCACGGGTGCTTGAGCGCCTGGTCAGCCGTGATGCGTTTGGCGGGGTTTATGGTCAGCATCTGGTTGATCAGGTTCTTGGCTTCCGGGGTCACCGTGTCCCACTCTGGTGATGGGAACTAAGGAGCAGAAAAGGGTGCAGGAGGGGTGTGAGCCTCGCACCCTGGCAGGCGGGCTCCATCTTCGTCAGCGGGAGAGCGGGGGCTGCAGCGAACGCCGCCTGGGGAAGGGTGAGGAGCCTGGGGCACCCCGGCCCCCGCGCCAGGACGGGAAGCCAGCCGTCACGGTGAGAACACTGGACTGCGAGCTCAGAGCGGGAAAGGGACTCCAGCACCTCCTGGGTCAGCCCGGCCCGTCTCCTGGGAGGAAGCAGCGATTCCGCCACGGGGGGCCCCAGGCCCCACAGCTGCCAGACGCCTCGTCCCCATGTCAGCCGGCACGCCCCCCCTCCATGCCCCAGGGGGATGCCCAAGGGTTTCAGTGGGCTCCTGGCTTTACCAACACCAAGAATGGCTGCAAAAAAAAAAAAAAAAAAAAAGCCGCTCCCTGGGACAGTGGGTGGCAAGAATGGAGACCTGTATGCCAGCCGCCGGGTCCTCCACGCCCCCGCCCCTCCCGGCACCCTGCCCCTTCCCATGAAGAGACCACGGGGTGGGAACCAGCGGGCCTTACGTCGTAGGCTCCGGCCTTGATCTGCTGATACAGCTTGTGTTGATCCTCGTCCCAGAAGGGGGGGTATCCCACCAGGAGGATATACAGGATGACTCCTACGAGACAGGACGCGGGTCACGGGGGCGCGTCACTCGCCTTGCCCAGGGACCAGGAAAACCCACAGGGATCTCAGCCCTTCCCGCTGCGCTTCGCTCCCCGTGACGCCATGCCACGCCCGGACGTCCTGAGGCACAGCCCATCCTCCAGGGCGGGGGCACACCCCTCTTCAGGAAGACGGAACAGGACAGAGAGTGCGTGGGGAGCGGGCGTGGGGGAACAGCCCTCCCCGGGGCGCGCGAGCACACACCATGGCCTCAGTGTCCCAGTCGCCCGCGGGACTGCGAGCACACACCATGGCCTCAGTGTCCCTGTCGCCCGCGGGCCGGCAGGGGAGTGCGAGCACACACCATGGCCTCAGTGTCCCAGTCGCCCGCGGGCCAGCAGGGGAGTGCGAGCACACACCATGGCCTCAGTGTCCCAGAGGCCCGCGGGCCAGCAGGGGAGTGCGAGCACACACCATGGCCTCAGTGTCCCAGTCGCCCGCGGGCCCGCGAGCACACACCATGGCCTCAGTGTCCCAGAGGCCCGCGGGCCAGCAGGGGAGTGCGAGCACACACCATGGCCTCAGTGTCCCAGAGGCCCGCGGGCCCGCGAGCACACACCATGGCCTCAGTGTCCCAGAGGCCCGCGGGCCCGCGAGCACACACCATGGCCTCAGTGTCCCAGTCGCCCGCGGGCCGGCAGGGAAGTGCGAGCACACACCATGGCCTCAGTGTCCCAGTCGCCCGCGGGCCCGTGAGCACACACCATGGCCTCAGTGTCCCAGTCGCCCGCGGGCCCACAAGCACACACCATGGCCTCAGTGTCCCAGAGGCCCGCGCGCCCGCGAGCACACACCATGGCCTCAGTGTCCCAGTCGCCCGCGGGCCCGCAAGCACACACCATGGCCTCAGTGTCCCAGTCGCCCGCGGGCCGGCAGGGGAGTGCGAGCACACACCATGGCCTCAGTGTCCCAGTCGCCCGCGGGCCGGCAGGGGCGCGCCAGGCTCTCTCGCCATCGAGGGCCCCGAACCCCGAAGAGCTGCGCGGGGGGAGTGGGCTTACCGCAGGCCCAGATATCCACGGGCTTTCCATAGGGATCTTTCCTCAAGACCTCAGGGGACAGGTAACCCGGGGTGCCAGCAAAGCCTGCAGCAGGAGAGAGAGGAGGAGGCACATGTTCTCTCTCACGGGACCCACTAACAGTCCTTAAACCCAGTACAGTTTCCCAAGCCCCTTCTCGCTGCTGCTGCTGCTGCTGCTGCTGCTTCTTTTTTTTTTTTTTTTTTTAATATATCTTATTGACTTTTTAGAGAGGAAGAGAGAGGGATAGAGAGTTAGAAACATCGATGAGAGAGAATGATCGATCAGCTGCCTCTTGCACACCCCCTACTGGGGATGTGCCCGCAACCAAGGTACATGCCCTCGACCGGAATCGAACCCGGGACCTTTCAGTCCGCAGACCGACGCTCTATCCACTGAGCCACACCGGTTTCGGCCCCTTCTCGCTTCGGATGCTTTGGCTCCTCAAGCTCCCAGGACGTGCCCGGAATCGCAATCAGAGGGCACGTCCACGTGCCTGCCAGGAACGCCCGCCCGTCCTCCCCAGGGGCAGCGAGGATGGGGCGCCGACAACAGCCAGACGCCTGCCCTGAGTCACGCAGGGCCCTCGGAGCGCTCCCCGCCCTCTCCGCCCGTCCCCGAGGAGGCCGAGGCCATTAAGGGTCTGGCCGCCGGTGCTGGAGGAAGAAGGCCGACCAGGAAGAGGAGGAAGGGCGGGGGCCGCATTCCAGGAAGACGGGGTCACGCTTACCGAACCAAGCCTGCTGCTCGCCCTGCACCTCGATGGCGAGGCCGAAGTCGGCCAGCTTGACGGCGGCGCCCTTGCATTTACTCGCCAGCAGCAGGTTCTCGGGCTGCGTGAGGAGGAGAAGACAGAACCTTGTGAGGCCCTCGCCTACCCCTCAGGCCCAGAGGGAGCCCAGTGTGGGCGGGCCCGCGCAGTACCGCCACCCGGCACCAGGTGGCGACAACACCTCAGGAGCAGGAAAGCAAACGGGGAGCCGGAGCAGTACCTTCAGGTCCCTGTGGACGATGTCGTGCTGGTGGATGTGGTTGACGCTCTCCAGGATCTGGTGTATACAGTGGCTGCAAAAGCAGAAGGAAGAGGAATGTCCGTGAGGGTTTAAACCACCTCCTTCACAACCACAGGCCGTGGACCAAAGCATGGAGAACCTGTAGCACGGGAAATCACTGAGCAGTAAGACGCAACCTTGGACTCGGGACATCCTCTAGCTCAGCGGTTCTCAGCCTTCCTAGTGCCGCGACCCTTTAATCCAGTTCGTCACGTTGTGGTGACCCCCAACCATAACATCATTTTCGTTGCTACTTCCTAACTGTCATGTTGCTCCTGTTATGAATCGTAATGTAAATATCTGTGTTTTCCGATGGTCTTAGGCGACCCCTGTGAAAGGGGTCCCGACCCACAGGTTGAGAACCGCTTATCTGGCTCAACCCGTTTTACGGAAGAAGAACCGGAGTCCCAGGCAGATAGCGTGGACTGTCCAGAGTCTCCCGATAGATAACCGCAAAGGAGCAACTAGGACAGCGTCCGCCATGCCTCCCGAGACTGAAGGTCCAACACAGCCCAGTTTGTTTCCAAGACACTGGAGACACCCCAGGCCCCTGAGAGGGGACAGCCCACCCCTTCCTGTCTTCTCTTTTCCCCTCTAGTGGGGAGAGGCCTGTGGTGGCAAGGAGAGTCCAACCAAACCTACACTGTCTTGGGATAGGTGCACGCACGTTCACATAAACATTGACTGGGTGCCCACAGGAACCACACAGGCTATAAAAAGGAACCAGGCCCAGAGCCTGCCTTAAAGTTTGTCATCTAGCGGGGGAGATCAAACCAGTACACAGACATCTTTAAGGAACCATGTACCTCCAAGGGGCCCAGCGCACCCAAGTACATAGTGTGCCCTCAAACTATAAATAAATGTCATACTAGACACAAAATATAGAAAAGTGAGGCCAGTAAAACTCGGATCATGAGAGCGTATAGGTTAAAAACAGTCTATACTGTTTTCCTGAATGAAGGTCCAGAGGACCTAACTGCCTCCCATTTACAGTCAAACCTTGTTTCTCAAAAATCTCCCTCCTCGAACAATTCGGTTCTTGACCAAGCTGTTCATAGAGAGGAAATGTCTCAGTTGTGGCCCCAAACTTTGGTTTTGGGAGTGGACCGCCCTTTCACGTGGATACCTCAGCATGACTGAAAACACATCTTGGGCAGAAAGCAGAGGAGAGAATGCTTCCGTGGCTGGGGAAGGCGAAGATCAGCACATTTTAAAACATAAAGAGGCCATCAAGAGTACCGAGGTGGCACAGTGGTTGAACAACGATCAATCAGGATCAATCAGGAACTCAACGGTTCAACTGTAGTCAGGGCACATGCCCAGATTGCAGGCTTGATCCCCAAATGGGGGGCATGCAGGAGGCAGCTCATCAATTACTCTTTCTCATCATTGATGTTTCTCCCTCTCTCTTCCTCTTCCTTCCTCTCTGAAATCAATAAAAATATAAACACACACAAAAAAAACCACAAAACAAAACAACCCACAAACAAAAAAACCCACAAACCCAGGGAATCATTTGGGGGTCCAGAATGGATTAAAAAAAAAAAAGTGTGTGTGTGTGTGTGTGTTAATTCCATTTACATTATTTCTGATGAGAAAAAAAAATGATTGATTTTCAAACCAATGCTTCTTGAACAGCCTTCTGGAATGAATTAAGTTCGAGAACCGAGGTTCCACTGTATCTGCTTTTCACTTTTGAGAAAAATTCAACCTTGACTTCCATCCAAGTTTACAGTCTTGTCCCATCCTTAATGGTCCATGCTTCAGCGAGAAAAAGACACTCAGACTTCCTAAGAATGAGCCTGCCTAGCACTGTGGGACCACATTATCCAACCAAAAGGTTGGTCACCGATGCATCCTGTGGATTGATTTATGGCCAAAAGGGGGAAGTGTGGCCGCCTACTAAGCCTGACAAGTTCACGGAGGCCTGCGCGGCAGCTTTACAAACTCAGAAACCAAAAGTAACCACAGAGGATGGTCTGAAACTAAAACTTTCTAAACTCAAAGCAGCTCATGGAGGGTAGTTATGGCCTAAGGCAGTATTTTCCCCTAGCAAAGGTCAATCTTCACCTTAACTGAGCCTGTCATCTTTGTGCATCTAAAATAACATCCTTGATAATACAGCCTTGGATCGCAAAACAATCTCTCCCCTCTCCCCCCACCCCACTTCTCAAAGCACAGCCACCACACCAGGGCACCACAAATCCCTTCATTGCTATTATCATGTTACTACATCCACAGATGTCAAAGAAGTGTCTATTTGGTTTGCTTTTTATCCAATCCCAGAGATTTCCTCCTCTGGTTTCTCCTCCCTCCCTAATCTATCACCGATGGATTTCATGTAACCCCCTTTCGGCTTGCCTTTAGATTCTGATGTATAAAGTAAGTGGCAAAACTGGCATTTTCTGGAGAATTTTCTCAACCAGTTGAGATTCTGCTTCCTGGTAATTGTTATCAGTTTCACTCAAATACACTCATAAAAAATCGTTGACAAAACAGAGTAGCTAAAGAAGCATGCCTGATAATGATTTTGCATAGAAGACAAACTGCCGAAACCGGTTTGGCTCAGTGGATAGAGTGTGGGACTGAAGGGTCCCGGGTTCGATTCCGGTCAAGGGCATGTACCTTGGTTGCGGGCACATCCCCAGTAGGGGGTGTGCAGGAGGCAGCTGGTAGATAATTCTCTCTCATCGATGTTTCTAACTCTCTATCCCTCTACCTTCCTCTCTGTAAAAAAAAAAAAAAAAAAAATCAATAAAATATATCAAAAAAAGAAAAAGAAAAAAGAAGACAAACTAAGATAGTCACAGTCTTGCTGATTCTTGAATGAGGCTGCCCAACTCCCAACCATTCCTGCCCCACTTACAGTCAAACTCTTGGCAGAGTGTCGACAGTCTAGAGCAGCGATGAAAACTGGGGGACAATTCAGCCTCCCGAGGGACATTTGGCAATGCCTGGAGACTTTTCTGATTGTCACAACAACTGAGGGGCTGGGTGCTACTGGCATCTAGTGGGTAGAGGCCAGGGATAGTTCTAAACCTCTACAAGGTACAGAGGGCGCCTCACAACGAAGTCATCTGGCCCGCTCAGCCGGCGTGGCTCAGTGATTGAGAGCTGACCTATGAACCAGGAGGTCACGGTTCAATTCCCAGTCAGGGCACATGCCTGGGGTTGTGGGCTGGATCCCCAGAAGGGAGCCTGGGGGCCGATCAATGATTCTCTATCATCACTGATGTTTCCTTTAGCCTCTTAATTGCTTTTATCACTCAAAGAAAGCTTCCCTTTCAAATGGATTTAGCTTTCTGAATACATTTTTTATTTGAATACATTAGCTTTCTGAATACTTTCTGAATACATTTTTCTGAATACATTTTTTTTGTGTGCTTGTGCCTTCAACACTTCCACAAGGATTTCCTGCTCCTCGATGAGGAAAGCACGCTGGCCCCGTCACGGACACGTTTAGCACACGTTGGCCGGCCACAGGCCCCGCGGACACGTTTTCTTCGGTCCAGACAAGCTCATTAGAACTGCAGGTCTCCCGGCACGGACTCCGCGGAGTCGGCCTGGGCACGCGCCACACGCAGATTTTGGTGCTTTCCCAACCTCCTTGGTACAAAGGCAAACAGTTCTACTGCCAGGGGATGGGGACGGCCTAGTTTTGCTAAAGGCGGCGTGGTGGGACAGCCTCCGACGGCGTGCGGAACGCTGGGCCGCGGTGAATGGCTGAGTCGCCATCCCCGGAAGAGGACAAGGAAAGCGCGTGCGAGTTCCGCATCACTGATGTTTCTCTCCCTCTCCCTCTCCCTTCCTCTCTGAAAACAATGAGAACATATTTAAAAAAAAAATAATTAAAAAAAGTTTTAAAAAACAATAATAATTTAAAAAAATCTAGCCCCAAGGTTGAGGTTGAAGAAACCGGGCATACGGACCAGGCCTGCAGGGTCTGGGGGTGCTGGGCTGGTGACCTGGACTTTTTTTTTTTTTTTTTTTTTTTAATATATTTTATTGATTTTTTACAGAAAGGAAGAGAGAGGGATAGAGAGCCAGAAACATCGATAAGAGAGAATCATCCATCAGCTGCCTCTTGCACACCCCCACTGGGGATGTGCCCGCAACCAAGGTACATGGCCTTGACCGGAATCAAACCTGGGACCTATCCACTGAGCCAAACCGGTTTCAACGTGACCCAGACTTAGGACTCCTTCCTTAAAATCTGACCCTGGGGCTTGCACAAGAGCCAAAGGGGCTTTTGAGGTTCCTGGGGGCTCAGGCCTCCCCACAGGACACAGCCCACGAGGAGGCCAAACGGGCTGAGCTGAAGAGGCACTTCCGCCAAAATGTATAATTAGAACAGAGCCCGGCTAGCAGGGAGCGCCTTCTGGCCAAAAATGGCAAAAGTGCGAAGTGTCCCAGCAGAGCCAGGCCAAGCCCACTGGTACAGTCATTCCCCCCCCCCCCCCCCAAGCTCTCCCTCCTCCCTGCCAGATCCCTGAGCTACCACCACCTCCCCCAGCCCCGCCCCCGAAGCCTCGTCCTCCCCTGCTGGCACTGGAATCCAGCTCCCCACTTGAGAATTCTTCCTGAGGCCCAGCATCTGAAGTTGATCAGCAAACAATGGCCTCTCCCGGCTGAGAAATGCTGTGAGGAAGCTAGGCTCCCTCCTCCTCGGAGGCGGCCAGAGCTGCCACACGTGCCCGATGAGCTACAGGCAGGATGATCAAAACCAGGTTGTAGGGACATCACCCTCGGAACAAAGTCGGGGCCAGGGGAGGAGCCGAGGCGGGAAAGGCAGGCCAGACGGCGCCCAGAGCTGTGGTGCGGGAGGAATCTGCTGTGTCACAGAAAGGAGCGGCCAGGGCTTCCACCCAGGGCTTGGGGCTGAGGGGTGGCAGGGAACGGCCCTCACACGGTCAAGGCTGAAGTCTCCCGCAAGGTTCCTGGCTGGATTATTAACGCTTTGGGCCATACACCATGTCCCCCCATTTCCGGATCACCCCCAGGATGCTTTCTTTATACACAGTGGGATTTGTCAAAGGAAAGAGAAGGGGCAGGGACGAGCCTTGGGCATGCCTGCAAGTACACGCAGTGCACAGGAGAGGGATTTGGGGCCGACGGACGTGGAGGCTTGTAGGGGCGTTGGGAAAAAAATCTGGTCTGCAAGGTGCTGAGTTTTTACCTTTTTGTATCACCCACACAATGCACAGAACCTTTGTCCCGACAAGAGTCCTCTGATCTCCCCCAACGACGATTCGAGCAGACCCCGCGCCCCTAAGAGGGCCAAGATCCACACCTGCCTGACAGGGTGCCCACCACCTCACCTGGCGTCGGCTTCGCTGTAGTATTCTCTGGCCACGATGTCTTCAAAGAGCTCTCCGCCAGTGACCCTGCAACCAGCACACACAGAGGATCAGAGGAGGCAGGCGAGCCAGCCAGCCAACCCCAGCCCCGACAGGCAACGGCCACACTGCACAACGGCTTTTAAAGAAACCCCCGGGCCCCCTCCATGGCATGTCCTCCGGGAGCCCAGGTCACACTCAGCCCTCCCATGACCTGGGGCTGCTCCTCGGGGTGGCCTGGGCCTCCCCTCGCTCCTGCCCATCTGCCTGTAGAACCCACAGAGAGCTAATGCTCCGGCCGAGATGACTAGCCCGGGACCCAAGAGACAATAACTGCCCTCCTCAGAAAGGCTTCGCTTTGAGACCAACACAAACACGAAGATCCGGCTTCTGTTCCCAAAGAGAACAGACCTACGGCGTGAAGTTGACGAATGATGGGACTAAGGACTGAGGCCCGACCCTGAAAATACCAAAGAGGCATTTCCGGAGGTGAAGAGACACCCGCTATTAAGATATTAGACTACAACCAAGTGGAGGAGCGGCCAGTTAGAGCCCGGTTTACCACTAACATAAGCTACCTACGCATTCGCAGAATTTTTCGGGTCGTGCAAAGAGCTGCAGTCTGTCTCTCCACTGAGGACAACACGCGGAGAAACACGACAAAAGCATCTGCACAAGACAAGCTGCTGCACAGAAATGCGCCAGCGATGGCCTCTCTGGGGCTCAGAGCCCGGGGGCCCTCAGCAGCACACCGCTGCCAGAGGAAGTTCAGAGTCACACTCTCCCCTTGGGGCCGAGGCGGAGGGCCTGGCGGAAGGAAAGGCCCCGCGTCCTCACAAAGTGCACTTACAGGTCGAACACGAGGTAGTGGAACCCTTCTTCGGAAATGCTGTCATGGAGGCGCACTGCAAGAGAGGAGACGGACAGACGTTAACAGCGAGAACCTGCAGACCCCATTCCTTCCTCCCGAGGGACCCACGCCCGGCCCCTTCCGCCAGCCTCGCCGGCTCCCTCCGGAAGCGGGGGCCGCGTGCCCCGTGCTCCCCCAGCCAAGGTCACGCAGCCTCGGCGCAGAGACGCCCAGATCCCGCGGTCGGCGCCCCGGTCACCCCCTCAGACAAGCTTCGCGGCTAAGACGATGCAACTAAGACGACGGAGAGAAGCGGGGACCTTCGGAGGGGCTGGTCCGAGAGAAGCTGGTCCCGGGAGAGGAGGAGCGACAGCGCGATGCCCAGGGAGGGCACCAGGCTTACCGAGGGGGGACAGAGAATGGCAGGAGGGAGACCCTGAGCTCTTTCAGAGGAGTCCAGGGAGAAGAGGGCGTGGGAGAGCCCAGCAGGAAGGCGTGGGGAGCCAAGGCGGCGGTGAGCATGGGAGGCAATACGCAACACAACAGGAACCCTTCTAGCCGAAGCCGGTTCGGCTCAGTGGTGGAGCGTCGGTCTGCGGACTGAAGGGTCCCGGGTTCGATTCCGGTCGGGGGCATGTACGTGGGTTGCGGGCACATCCCAGGTGGGGGGTGTGCAGGAGGCAGCTGGTCAATGTTTCTCTCTCATCGACGATTCTATCTCTCTATCTCTCTCCCTTCCTCTCTGTAAAAAAATCAATAAAATATATTAAACACACACACACACACACACCAAAAAAAAACCACAAAAAACCAGGAACCCTTCTATTAAGTGCTTACTATGCTCAGGCCTTCTGTAAGCCCCCGGCATCCATCACTTACGCTACAGGCATGTACTGAGTGCCTACTATGCGCCAGACCCTGTGCTAGGGGGTTTAGGGCTAGGAAGGACCCAGTTTATTATTTCTGACGACCACCGAAAGATGGGTGTTACTCCTATCCCACAGAGGAGGACACGGGAGGTTCGGGAACATACAATAACACGGGGTCGGGCCTTGAGCCTGCCTCCGAGGTATGTACCCTTGAGTGGAATCGAACCTAGCTCCCTTCAGTCCACAGGCCGATGCTCTATCCACTGAGCCAAACTGGCTAGGGCAGGAACATACACTATCTCGCCAAAGGCCGAAGATGCGGTGGTGGGTGAAGATGTGAGCCCAGCTCTCTCTGTCTCCACAGACCGGACTGCACCCCCGTTTCCCGTAAGACAGGTGGAGCGGCCCACACACCCGGGCCGCCGAACGGGGGAGCCCGGGGGAGAGACCCGCACGGGTGTCCCTGCAGCAGCACGGGCGGGTCCGGGAGGCCACCGCGGAGAAGGCTGGCGAGAGGGAGCCCTCCCACGCCCGCCCGCCCGCCCCGAGCTCCCGGGCAGAAAACCAACCCGACGCCCGAGTTCCCTCCGGCTTCTGCCCACAGAGCCAGCTCTGGGCTCAGCGCCAAGCGCTGAGCATCGTTCCGATGCAAGCACAGCTCCCTGCGTCGGCTGCGGGGCCGGCCGGCCGTCCCTGGCCCTCCCCTCACTGAGCTCGCTGGGTGGGAAGGAAAGCTGTCCCCAGAGCGGCCTCTGTGTGGCCTCTGTGCGGGCCCCTCCCCGAGCCGAACGGCCGTGTCCTCGGAGACGGAAAACCCACCTTTTCTCTCCCCACACCACAGCTCCCTCTCCGGGTCCCAGCGGCTCCCCGGGGCCGGCCGCCTCCCGGCACCCCCTCCTCCACAGCGGGACCAGCCAGGGCCTAACACCCGGCACCGAGCCACGGCCCAGGCCACGGTCCTCCCCCCCGGGACACGCGAGGCCTGAGCCAGGGCCTGGGCCTGTTTACACTTCTCACGGCTTCCCTTATTTGATCGGCTCTGTTCCTCAGCCCCCGATTCCACCCCAAACGCAGTGTTTCTGAGGTTCACCAATGGGACCCGAGGCGGGGTGCTCCTAACATGACTGCCCTCAGCCCGCTCTCCCCTCCTCGCCCTCCTCGCCCTCCTCGCCCTCCTCCCCTTCCTCCTCCTCCTCTCCCTCCTCCCCTTCCTCCTCCTCCTCTCCCTCCCCCCCTCCCCCTCCCCCCTTCCTCCTCCTCCTCTCCCTCCTCGCCCTCCTCCCCCTCCTCTCCCCCTCCTCCTCCTCGCCCTCCTCCCCCTCCTCCCCTTCCTCCTCCTCGCCCTCCTCCCCCTCCCCCCTCCTCTCCCTCCTACCACTCCTCTTCGCCCTCCTCCCCCTCCTCCTCTTCTCCCTCCTCCCTTCTCCCCCTCTCCCTCCTCCCCCTCCTCGCCCTCCTCCCCTTCCTCCTCCTCCTCTCCCTCCTCCCCCCTCCTCTCCCTCCTACCACTCCTCTTCGCCCTCCTCCCCCTCCTCCTCTTCTCCCTCCTCCCTTCTCCCCCTCTCCCTCCTCCCCCTCCTCCCCCTCCTCGCCCTCCTCCCCTTCCTCCTCCTCCTCTCCCTCCTCCCCTCTCCTCTCCCTCCTACCACTCCTCTTCGCCCTCCCCCCCTCCTCTTCTCCCTCCTCCCCTCTCTCCCCCTCCCCCTCTTCCCCCCCCTCTCCCTCCTCCCCCTCCTCCCCCTCCTCGCCCTCCTCCCCCTCCTCGCCCTCCTCCCCCTCCTCGCCCTCCTCCCCTTCCTCCCCCTCCTCGCCCTCCTCGCCCTCCTCTCCGGGGCACCAGGAGCTGCTTCTCCAGCTGCAGGTGCCGCAGGCGCACAGCCCACGGTGCCTCCCGCCCTGACCCTGGCTCACACGCACCCCCTCCTCGCCCGCTCCCCCGGCTGCCAGTGCCGCACGCTGGGTCCTGCGGCAGCTGCTGCTCCCTCGCTTCCAAAAGGACTTTCCATTTAATTAGGAATTTGCTATTAAAAAGCATTAAAGTGTGTAATACAAATAATCCCCTGGAAATCAGCTGTCCCAGAAGCCAAAAGCCAGCTTTGTTAGGGAGGTGACTAACAGCAGCAGGACGGCGAGCTCACAGGAGGGCAGGCTTGGTGCTAACCACCACATCCACCTGCCGGGGGAGCCCGGGGTCGGGGCGGGAGGCACCGCGGGCTGTGCCTCCCACCCCCACCCAGCCTGCCCGGACCCTCACCCCCACCCACCCCCACCCCCACCCAGACTGCCCGGACCCTCACCCCCACCCCACCCCATCCCCACCCAGACTGCCCAGACCCTCACCCCCACCCCACCCCACCCCACCCAGACTGCCCGGACCCTCACCCCCACCCCACCCCATCCCCACCCAGACTGTCCGGACCCTCACCCCCACCCCACCCCATCCCCACCCAGACTGCCCAGACCCTCACCCCCCCCCCCCCCCACCCCACCCAGACTGCCCGGACCCTCACCCCCACCCCACCCCATCCCCACCCAGACTGCCCGGACCCTCACCCCCACCCCACCCCATCCCCACCCAGACTGCCCGGACCCTCACCCCCACCCCACCCCATCCCCACCCAGACTGCCCGGACCCTCACCCTCACCCCTACCCACCCCCACCCCCACCCAGACTGCCCGGACCCTCACCCTCACCCCCACCCACCCCCACCCCCACCCAGACTGCCCGGACCCTCACTCCTACCCAACCCCACCCCGCCTGCAGGACTCTCAAACCCCCACCTCCTGCCTGTCTGGACCCTCGCCCCCACCCCCACCCAGCACAGCGGGGCTGAGATGCGGGCAGGCACCGGGCCTATGCCCAGGCAGGAGGCACTGGCACTGGCACTGGCCCTTCCCCAGAGGCCACACACGGAGTCCAGGTGGGAGGGAGCCGGCCGGGAGTCAGGAGCAGCAGGAAGGCTCCCCTCCCAGGCCACCGGCCCAGAGAAGGGGGCGGGTGGGTGCCCAGAGAAGGGGGCGGGGTGGGTGCCCAGAGAAGGGGGCGGGTGGGTGCCCAGAGAAGGGGGCGGGTGGGTGCCCAGAGAAGGGGGCGGGGTGGGTGCCCAGAGAAGGGGGCGGGGTGGGTGCCCAGAGAAGGGGGCGGGTGGGTGCCCAGAGAAGGGGACGGGGTGGGTGCCAGCACGGCTCCCCTGGGACAGAGGGCAGGCGGGGAAGGCCGTATCTGAACACGACGGCGATGGCTTCAGGCGTCTGGTTCCCGTTTGTAAAGAAAGCTAAAGGGGAACGAGAACAGGGGAGACACCTGACCGCGCCTCCCTCGGCGCCTCCCAGGCAAAGTCTGAAGAACGAGCACGTGAGCTGTCTCTGCGTCCCAGCCCGAGAGCCACAAGCGGCTCTTTGGCCCCTGGAGCGTGGCTCTTCCACAAAAAACACCACGGCCTGGGCGAGTCTATTTTGAAGAAGTGGCGTTAGAAGTTTAAGTTTAAAAAATCTGGCTCTCCAAAGAAATTTCAATCGTCGTCCTGTTGACATGTGGCTCTGCTGACCGATGAGTTTGCCGACCACTGGCCTGGGCACCGTGCCCAGCGCTTCACACGCGGGTTTTACCAACTCGCACTGACTCTGGGGGACGGGCACTTCCCCTCATCCCGACAGGAGAGGACCCTGGGGCTCACACCGCGGGGCAGAGCTGGGACGCGAAGCCAACACAGACTGGCACCAGGTCCCAGAGAGGGTCCCTTCCCTCCATCCTGTAGGCACAGGCGCTCCGCCCGCCCCCACCGCCCTGGCCACCCGGACTCACTCCGCACGTCCACTCGCACCTCCCCTGAGGCAGGCTGGCTGTCCGGCCCCGGACCGCGGTGAGCACAGGAGGCCTGGCCTGCCGCATGGAGCTTCCTGGGAGCGCGGAAGACAGGCAGCCTTCCAACCAGCACTTACACCAGAATGGAACTGAGCTGACACCGGTGTGGCTCAGTGGATAGAGCCTCGGCCTGAGGACTGAAAGGTCCCGGGTTCGATTCCGGTCAGGGGCATGTACCTTGGTTGCAGGCACATCCCCAGTAGGGGGTGTGCAGGAGGCAGCTGATCGATGTTTCTCTCTCTCATTGATGTTTCTAACTCTCTATCTCTTTCCCTTCCTCTCTGTAAAAAATCAATAAAATATGTATTTTTTTAAAAAAGA